TTTCCCTTTTTTTTTTTTCAAATCATTAGTGCCATTATAATGAATTTTTTTCTTTTTTTCCCTGGAGCCCCCAATTTTTCCCCTGATTTTGATAGCTAGCACCAATGTCTTCGGGGCCCTTCAGCCTCATTTGACTTTCCGACATATCCTGATCCAATGAAGTGTTGGTACTTTCTTTGCCGACTTTTAACACTACCTCCTTACAAGGTTCATCTTCTGACCCAGATTTCAAACCTGCGTTTCCATCTGAGGGAATCACTACATCTGTTGACCTTGAGCAATTTCCATCAAACAAATGTTGTGCAGAAAACGGTTTGACAGAACCGTCGCCAGTGAAATCTGACGATTCTTCTGTCAACAAAGGTTGAATAACATTTTCCGGCACTAAAGATTCCTGAAACGACACGCCCTTTTCAATGTTATCACTGGCTGCAGATTGCTGGGACGCAGCAGCAACGTCATTTACATCACTTGCTACAGACTGATGCGAGACGGACGAACACGAACAGCAACTGTCCTCTGAGATCTGGCTTAAATGACTCCCGAATACTGCTGGATGGTTACTTCTCAATGGTGTGGCATTTCCTACTTCCGACCAGGGACTGTTTTGAACGGTGTCCGACTTGGTGAATACAATGATAGGACGACGGAAGCCTGAAATGAGTATGTCACACATGTTAATTATGTAAATAGCATACTAAGCTAGTTTATTTTCAGCAGAATAAAATACCTGCTCTTAAAATACAGTTTTCATTATCCCCTAAAGATTATATCAAGGGCAAAGTATGTTAACTTTGAGGATTCATTCAGACATACCAATGAGTAATTTCATTATATGAATCGAAATTAAAATATAACGGGCACCTGAGTAGAACCACCGACGTTCCGTAAGCTAGCTGGATAGCTTCCTCACATGAAAGAATTCAAAGTCCCTGTTTGGATTCGAACCCACAGCGGTGAGGGGCAAGTTGTTAGAAGTCAGTCAACGACCTTAACCACTCGGCCACGGACGCCCCACCATTAATTTTGTTAAAGAGACAATAACAATATGCCCATCCAGGTGTAAATGGTCAGTGAACAGTAAAAATAACTAGAACTTAGCATTGTGTTCAATTTCACATTTGACTATGAAAAAATCAATGAATAATTCATGTTACCAACTGAAATTAATTTAGTTTATAAAGACTTATATATAAAATTTAAGTTTTTCTCTCAAAAACTACAATGCCCAGATTTTAGATTTTTGGCATTGCCTGGTAAACTAGTAAACCTCTATAAAGTGTCAAGGTCAAATTAACCCGATTTAAGGTCAAGTTCATTAAAATATTCTTAAAAGTCTTGTGTCCAAGGATTGCTGTGCCTATGTATGAAGACAATCCATTCCTTACTTACAAAGTTATAGCCAAATTTTGCAAAACAATTAAATGACAATAATTTGACTTTTAAGGTAAAGGTTTTTTATGAGTCAAGGTCAATTTGAAATTGTTTTTTGTTTGCACTGCACTTCAACCTTATGAGTTCTATCTACCTGCAAAGTTTCATGTTGATATCTCTTATATTTTAAGAGAAAGCTCAAAGTATAAAAATGAACAAAGGGCAATTACTCCAAAAATAGGCAAGGCAGAGTTACGGTTCTTGTGCACTGCATATCTTCCCAATGGGATCTATCTACCTTCAAAATTTCATGTTGATATCTCTTATAGTTTTAGACTTATGTCCCGGACAAAGTTTAAAAATTAACAAAGGGCAATAACTCCAAAATTAGGCAAGACAGAGTTATGGTTCTTGTGCACTGCACATCTACCCATTGAGATCTATCTACCTACAAATTTTCATGTTGATACCGCTTGTTGTCCTGGACAAGAAAAGTGGACGGACGGACAAAGTGGCGACTATATGCTCAGCCTTCAGGTAGCATACAGACCATGAAACAGGAAAATGCTGACAATTTGCACACCTAGACTTGGTAATGATAATTCCTGTAAAGTTTGGATGGAATTGCACCAGTAGTTTCTGAGGAGTAGTCCCGACAAGTTTTGTGAAAGACAGACAAATTCACAGATTTAGCGAAGTTGTATGTATTTATTCAAGGGCCATAACTCAGCCAAAAATCAACTCAAGAAAACTTGACAAATATGCGCAAGGGTTTTAGCTACAGATCAATCCTTTAAAGTTTCATTCAAATTGCATCACCTGAATATAAAACCTCTCATTGACAAGGAACATAACAAGTAATTCAGTAAACTATAAACAAAAGCAGATATAAAATCTAACTCTTAAACTGATAACACAAACTTCATAATTGTATCTGAAATAGTGCATGTCTAAAAACATTACTGATTGCTATTGCTTATGGAAACAAACAGTTCCAAAAGATGTGTACATATAAAGAAAATCAATGATGCCCTAGGGCGGCGCCAATTTTGAAACCAGGGCTTTTACTTGAACAAACTCGGTAAACACTTACTAGAAGATGTTTCATGCCAAATATCTAAGCACTTCTGTTTTTTTTTAAAAGAAGATTTTTAACGTTTTTTTCTTTCGGTTGCCATGGTTACCAGAGTTCTGTATGGAATTAAAATCTTAAACAATTTTTACAGGCGACCACCAAAGGAACATTCCTGTGAAATTTGGATGAAATTGGCTTAGTGGTTTATGAGGAGATGTCTTTTAAAGTAAAAGTTTATGGACAGTTGCCAGACGAAATGCTATCACTAAGGCCCCCACGGTAACACGTTTAAACGGATCCGTTTCGATTTTCATTCGTAAACGTTTACGATATTTTTAACCGTTTAATCGAAATGACCATATTGTCTTACAAAATATCTTAATCATTGCCTGTATTCATGAATTTTATCAATTTTAATTGGTTTATTCCAAAGTAAACAAGAGGGCCATGATGGCCCTGAGGTCGCTCACCTGTATATAGGCCCCCAAAGCGGGGTCAGTTTAAACCCCAGGGCTTTTATTTGAACAAACTTGGAAGACACCCATAAGAAAATGTTTCATGATGTTAAGTTTTTACTACAGACATATAATGAAAAACAATGATCTGCCCCCTCCCCCACCCCCGGCAGGGCCAATTTCAACCCAAGGGCTTTTATTTGAACAAACTTGGTAGACACCCATAAGATGTTTCATGCTAAACATCTAAGCTGTAGCTAATTGGGTTTTTTAAAAGAAGATTTTTAAGTTTTTACCATACACATATAGTTAAAACAATGACACCCCTGGGGCGGGGCCAATTTTGACCCCAGGGTTTTTTTTTTTTAACAAACTTTGTAGACACTTTCTAGAACATGTTTCATGCTTAATATCTAAACTCTAGCTATTTGGGTTTTTTCAAAGAAGATATTTAAGTTTTTGCTATACACATATATGGAAAATCAATGACCCCCGGGGCGGGGCCACAGAGCTTTTGACCACAGAGCTTTTATTTGAACAAACTTTGTAGACACTCACTAGAAGATGTTTCATGCTTAATATCTTTACTCTAGCTATTTAGCTTTTTTTTGGAGATTTTTTAAGTTTTTGCTTAGATATACACATATATTTTAGCTCTAGCTTTTTGAGTTCTTTAAAAGAAGATTTTTAAGTTTTTACTATAGCCATATAGGGAAAATCAATGACACCCTGGGGAGGGGCCAATTTTGACCCCAAGGCTTTTATTTGAACACACTTGGTAGACACTCATTAGAAGATGTTTCATGCTAAATATCTTAGCTCTAGCTCTTTTGGTTCTTTAAAAGAAGATTTTTTAAGTTTTTTCTATTTACATATAGGGAAAATCAATGACCCCCTGGGGTGGGGCCAATTTTGACCCCAGGGAATTTATTTGAACAAACTTGGTAGACACTCACTAGAAGATGTTTCATGCCAAATATCTAAGCTCTAGCTCTTCAAATTTTTTAGAAGAAGATATTTAAAGTTTTTTCTTTTGGTTGCCATGGCAACCAGAGTTCTGCATGGCATTAAATTCTTTGAACACTTTTCAAAGGTGACCACCAAAAGAACATTCCTGTGAAGTTTGGATGAAATTGGCTTAATGGTTTATGAGGAGATGTCATTTAAAGTAAAAGTTTATGGACGACGGACAGACGGACGATGGACGCCAGACGAAAAGCAATCTCAAAAGCTCACCCTGTCACAAAGTGACAGGTGAGCTAAAAAACTATGAAATAAAAAACAATTATGTATATTTATGCATCATGTTATAGTAAAAAAATAACATTTGTTAACATAAATTCCAAGTTCAAGGGGGAATAATTCTGGAAACAGCCATGCTAAAGTTATGAACCTTGTCACACAACATGTGTGTAATGATAAGAAATATATATTTGAAGTTTGAAGTAGATACCTTAAAAAGTAAAGAAGTTATAATATTTCTTAAAGAAAATCCTATGTTCAAAGAGAGATAAATCTGAAAATATTGTTTCAAGAGTTAAGAACCTTATCACATAATGTGTAATTGATGATTAGGAATAAGTATTTGAAGTTTGAGGTTGATAACTTTAAAACCAAAGAAGTTATAGTAAAAAAATAACATTTTTCAAGTGAAAAAATCTAAGTTTATGGGGTGATAATTCTTGCAATATTGGTGCCAGAGTTATGAACCTAGTCACATAACATGTGGTTGATGATAAAGAACATATATTTGAAGTATGAAGTTGATACCTTAAGAAATAAAGAAGTAACAGTAAAAAATGTTATTTTTTAAGGAAAATTCTAAGTTCAATGGGAGATAAATCTGAAAATATTGGTGCTAGAGATATGAACCTTGTCACATAACATGTGGTTGATGATAAGGAACATATATTTGAAGTGTGAAGTTGATCCCTTAAGAAATAAAGAAGTAACAGTAAGAAATGATATTTTTTAAGGAAAATTCCAAGTTCAATGGGAATAAATCTGATAATATTGGTGCTACTGCTAGAGATATGAACCTTGTCACATAAGATGTGGTTGATGATAAGGAACATATATTTGAAGTTTGAGGTTGATACCTTATGAAATGAAAAAGTTAGAGTGAAAAATATTTTACTGCGCCAAAACTTTAATCTGAAATCTGGACGCGAACCCGAGTAGGACAGCTCTCCATATACTTCATCGAGCTAAAAATCAAGAAAAATTCATTTGACCTGGACGACAATGTCATTTGTGTGTCATGGACAAGTTCAGTCTGGTTTACTTCATGGCCAGACAATCGTGTTGTTGTGTCCCAGTATGAAGAAAATCATTCAGAAATAAACTAGAAATGTGTTGTCACGCCACGGACGCCCCCGCATGCAACCAAAATTTCAGATGTTATAATATTTAGTTTCAAATTTGTTTGCACAAATTATTTTTTTCTATTTTAAGTTCAAAGCCTTTAAAACTATTCAATGTTAACACAAACCATTTTTATACAAAGTTCTTTGACGTATCCATATCTCAAATTTGAGTCGAATGTGTAATACCCTAGAGGAGATAATGAATGGAAACTGAAAATTTCATATTATTTTCAAAGTGAAAGGGACATAACTCTGCCAAAAATCATCGAACCATGACCAAATTCGAACTTGACCTATGCATTCCTTTGACATATCCATATGTCAAATTGAGTAGAATATGTTACACTGTTTGGGAGATAATGAACAGAAACTGAAAATTTCATATTATTTCAAAGTTAAAGGGGCATAACTCTGCCAAAAATCATTGAACCATGACCAAATTTGAACTTGACCTGCTCATTCCTTTGAGGTATCCATATGTCAAGTTTGAGTTGAATGTGTAATACCGTTGGGAAGATAATGAACAGAAACTGAAAATTTCATATTATTTTCAAAGTAAAAGGGGCATAACTCTGCTAAAAATCATTGAACCATGACCAAATTTGAACTTGACCTGGTTATTCCTTTGAAGTCTCCATATGTCAAGTTTTAGTTGAATGTGTAATACCGTTGGGGAGATAATTAACAGAACTGAAAATTTCATATTATTTTCAAAGTAAAAGGGGCATAACTCTGCCAAAAATCATCGAACCATGACCAAATTCAAACTTGACCTGTATTTTCTCATGACATATCCATATGGTAAGTTTAAGTTGAATGTGTAATACCGTTGGGGAGATAATGAATGGAAACTGAAAATTTCATATTATTTTCAAAGTAAAAGGGGCATAATTCTTCCAAAATCATCAAACCATGACCAAATTCAACCTTGACCTGTATTTTTTTATGACCTATCCTGACCTGTATTTTTTTATGACCTATCCATATGTGAAGTTTGAGTTGAATGTAGTATACCGTTGGGGAGATAATGAACGGAAACTGAAAATTTCATATTATTTTCAAAGTAAAAGGGGCATAACTCTGCCAAAAATCATCGAACTTGACCTGTATTTTCTCATGATATATCCATATGCAAAATTTGAGTTGAATGTGTGCAACCCTTACTAAGATTATGAACGAAAACTGATGATGACGGAATGACAGAATGATGGAATGACGGAACAGGGTAACACTATATGCCCCAGCCATTATATGGTGGGGGCATAAAAATAATGGGCAATGTTAAAGATTCTAGTTGGCAACTGACAGCATGACTGTAGCAAAAGCTTAAATGTTTTTCTCCAGATAAGTCAAGCTAAACAGAACCTAGAAGGAGTTGTCAATTCCAATAGACTACCATTAAACTGTCACAGAAAAGTTGCAAAGATTGCAATAGTTAAACTCTGAAACACTTTCTTAGACTTGTTTAATATGTATAATTTTTTTATTATCTATGGAATGAAAACCCTTTAAGATTCAATTTTCTTAAATTTTATATATTTATATAAGATCTTTACCATAAAAATTAAATGTATAAGTATATATGCATATAGCTTAACAATCTATATAAAATCTTGCAAATTATTGAAGAAAAACCTTTTGAAGCATTAAATGGTACGTCGACAGTGTTACAAGTAGAAAACCCAATCTCTTTCGACAGTAAGTAGTCTGTAAACTGGTCTGGACGCAGGTGGATGTTCTGGAAATTCTCAAAAATCTCATCCTAAAGTAAAATTGTAAAACAATATCATGAATAAATATCAGCTTTTGAACTAACTACAGAGCAATGAATTAAACATGTTGACATAATTGTTATTTTTTTGAAGTGCCGGATGTTCAGTCAACATTATTTAGATCAATATGTGCAAATTAAGCCTTAAAGTGGATGTCACCCACTGGAGGATAACCCCTTATAAGCACTTAACTATTACAGGCACAAGCAAAAGCTGTAAAGAAGTAAAACCACTCATCTTCTAGCCAGCTTTCAAACATTAATGATTGAACTTCAATAAAGAAACTATCTGTTGGATGAGGGGCACAAGACTGAAGAACCAGAACTTAATTAAATGCCACCTGTAGTGTAATGTACATTTGTACTACAAAAGATTTCAAGTGTTGCTCACAAAAGTCATTTGTTATTAAATAAATTATCAAATTACCATTCCTGCCATGTCTTAGTAATATCATGTGATTTTTATCAGTCTTTAAATACAGGTAGAGGATGCCTTCTTGTAGGACGCAAAACTGGCCCCAAATATGGTAAAATAAACATATCAAATTACAATCTATTAAAAGAATTTAAAAACTCATACTGTTAGCTTCTTCTTTTTCTTGTATGACGACCATGGTTGTGGCTCGAGTATAAATCTTCCGCCTGGTTTTAGCTGCTTGAACACTCTCTTGAAGAAACGTTTAAGACCATCATCGCCCCAATTAAAATGGATCCATTTTGTCACGCTCATTGCCAAGATGACATCATAATCTTCTTTCTGAAGTTCCAGCAGCTCATCGGACTCAAGAACAAAGTTTCCCTGAAAGATAAAACACATAATCATAATAAATAAAATGTGCAGTATCTGGTGTTTTTTGTAAAATCGCAAATTAAAAAGATAACAATCAAGTAAAAAAAAAAAAAAAACAAATTCAGGCATTCAATATACATGTAGCTACAAATAAAAGGCATCCATAAATTTATAATATTTACAGACATTATTTTTTCTCCCGTACAAAATTGAAAATTCACAATTAGTAAATAATTTGAGCAATTTTTTATTTTCTTCTATAAATCCAAATTATTTTTGAACCAGAAATTATTTGGGAGATCAGCCATAATAATTAAACAATTATTGAAATTTATTTATGATATGATGAACACACACAAAAAATGATTCATACTAAAATAAAGTTAATATAATCAGTTTTTATTCAAAGTTTTTTTTTTTAAAACTTACCTGCATAAATAACACATTGTGAGGGAAATTTCTGTGCTTACTGGATTCCATTTTAGACACAGGTGGTGCAGTAATTGGACCATAGTTTAGAACATTGGAGATCGGAAACTTTGATGTATCGGTTACATTTGATGACAGGAAAAGTCTGATGTTTTTTCTGGCAACAGTTATCAACTTGGGATCAATATCTATTCCAACAATTTTTGACGGATGATAATCCTTTGCTAATGATAATGTTAAATTCCCAACATTGCAACCTATATCAAGAACACTTTTACCTTCAAACCATTCCTTTTTCATACACTCTAAACGTTTATCTATCATAGATGGGGTGCGATAACCGTAATATCTGTTGTAATTGCCATATATGAACTTAGCAGGAATTTTCTCACTTTTTTGCACTGACATACTGGTTTTTGTCTGTGATGGTTTTGGTTGCTTAAAGCGTTTTGGAATTGTCTTTTTTTCTGATTTAATTGTTGGACTGGTAGATGAAATGGGAAGAGATCTTTGTAATGATGGCGATGGGTCTGGTTTTCCACCACTGTCTGTTCTCCGCCTTTTCTTGCACTTTGGAGAATTTGGAGGAAATAACGGGGGACACAATCTTGTCACAAACTGGTCTTGGCTTAGGGAATTCTTTGAAACCCAATGGTTCTGAATAGCTTTTTCTGGTTCAATGTCAATTTTAAGAAGCTTCCATGAGATTCTTGTCTTTATTTATATGTTTAGGAGGACTGAAAATTAAGGCATCTTCTTTCTTTTTATGGCGATTTCGCTGCTTCTTTTTTTTCAATTTCTTTTCCAAATCGGCCTCTTCATCGCTATCATTCAGGTTTAATGGATCAGTGATATTGAATGGAATTCTGACTTCTACAGATTGCCTTCTAATAGGTGTTGGTAATGGGGATGATTGTGTGGTGTGACTGAATTTAACTCTTTCCCCAGTTCTGATGAATCAAGCCATTCAAATTTAAAGGATCATCTATGCTTCCTCCATTAAGAAATCGGTTTGGAAGTGGTCCTGTCGGAGTGGACCTAAGTCTTTTCCTACGAGCAATACCTTCGTCTCTACGAAAACTCTGGCTATACCTCCTTTTCCTACCCCATGGTTGGGAAAATTTAGTGTCGTTTTTAATACTCAAGTCATCTTTGGATTTCCTGAAACTTTCAGGTGATGAAAAACTTTTTTCACCACACTGAATTTCTGCCTGACAATCAAATCTAGTTTTAGTTGGTGTCTTTACTTGGACACTCATTTTTTACTTATAAACCATACCATACACGATTTATTTCAGAAATATCGCAAGTTTATCTGTCAAAAACCAATACACGATTTTGATTAGAAATATTACAACTTCAACTGTCAAAAACGTACTGATCGTAGCACATGCGTTTGTTTACATTTTCAATTTCCGGTTAGCGCCACCTAGCGCTGTCCCAAGAACAACAAAAACTCGGTCAGCTTGATGATAAAAAAATCCACGCTGTACACTTCAATATACCATTGATACCAACATTCAGAGCTGTCTTTAACTAATTTATGATATCCTTCACAATAAAATTGCACGTCTATTGCAAATTATTCCTTCCAAACCATGAAACAATCCCTATGTGCATATTCTTACTGCCCAGCAAGGATAATTTCATTTAATGAGTTGCGCATGCGTAAAGCTATCAGAATGCTGGGATAGAAAGTTGCGGAAGTGAATATTGTGTCGTCTGTAAACTTACGGGTGCGACTCGAGGTTTGTTGGTTTTCAGTATTTTTTTTCAGCTTATTAATCACTTTTCAGGAAATTGAATAATATGGTACCACAAAGTATTCTTAGGTTTTAGACTCTTGCATTATTTTATAAATATAGGCAGATTCACGATTTTTTATAGTCATTGACTGACTGAGCCAAATCAACTGTTCACCCCACAACCATGCATTTTTTTCCTCACTTATTTGGGAAAAATGCCTTAACCTCTCGATTTTGGAAAAATTATCGCCAAAATTGCAAAGTTGGGAAGTAAAAATAGCTGATGCATGTTCAGATTTTTGGGTAATCTGCATCACAGACGCTTGGGGTTTGGAGCTCAAAACGCCTTTAAAATCCAAATAAAATGCATATTTGTCAATCCCAGCACATGTACTGATCATATATATCAAAAAAACTTAATATAAGCCGTTTTGAAAAAAAATCATATTTCAACATCTATAATAATACACAAGATAAAAATGTTCGCCGGAAAAAATCCGCATCCCTACCGTCATAATCAACATGTATTTAATCCATTTCCAATATTTTCACATAATCCTTTGGTCCATCGACACAGAAGATATAATTCTTCACGATGATGGTCAATTTTAAACTTCAACGGTAATATAAACAACGCAACAGCCGAAATAAACATCAATATTCTCGCCGTTTTTTTTCAACGACAAAAACTTTCGATAAATTCAATGGACCAGACGGCTATGAACGAAGCTATCCGATTATGTGGCCCCAGCTTTGCCGTGTGCAAAATGCGCAGCGCTTTTAAGTTTGGGAACCACATAATCGGATAGCTTCGTTCATAGCCGTCTGGTCCATTGAATTTATCGAAAGATTTTTGTCGTTGGAAAAAAAACGGCGATAATATTTGATGTTTATTTCGGCTGTTGCGTTGTTTATATTACCGTTGAAGTTTAAAATTGACCATCATCGTGAAGAATTATATCTTCTGTGTCGATGGACCAAAGGATTATGTGAAAATATTGGAAATGGAATAAAATACATGGTGATTATGACGGTAGGGGTGCGGATTTTTTCCGGCGAACATTTTTATCTTGTGTATTATTATAGATGTTGAAATATGATTTTTTTTCAAAACGGCTTATATTAAGTTTTTTTTGATATATATGATCAGTACATGTCCTGGGATTGACAAATATGCATTTTATTTGGATTTTAAAGGCGTTTTGAGCTCCAAACCCCAAGCATCTGTGATCTGCATGATTTTAAAGAAAATTTCAATTGGGAAGAGGCCTTTTGAGAGGCCTCAGTAATATAAGGTGAAAAATCACTGATAAGCACTGAATGTATTTATTTGAAACATCAAAGATGCCCTCAGGGGTCACAATTGTAACCTAAAAATTGCCAACTGCTAAAATTTGTTGGACATGGATTTATTTTAATGCGCGGTCAGCACTGAGTTTCAAATGCACTGACTGTGTCAGTTGTCTGTGTTCACGGATACTGCAATCTAATCAATGCACAACTAGTAACTCAACACTACTCCCCACATGCTTAAGTTTATACCAATTTATTTTAGTTTGATTGTGCGGGAAGCTTTAAGCTTATTGAAACACTCAAATCCGTTGCTGGAACCAACCAGTACTAAGCAATGAATGTAAAGTTTCTTGCTCAAGGAAACAACAGCTTGTCCCTGTCAGGGTTTGAACCCATGCGACAGCATCCTTAGATTACCAGTCCGATGCATTAACCACTCTGCCATGCAGCACTCTGCTTTTCATTTTATTGGAAGTTGGGGCAGACAGGTGAAGAAGTTTTCCATTGGAGTTTTAACAGGAGTTGGAAGTCTGGGTAGTCAGAAAGTTTCCATGTCAATTAAAAAAATCAGTAATCAGTGTACGAAATTAGGATTTGAATCCAATAGGCTGGTCAGGCTACCAAATTAGAATATTCCACAGGAACTTGAAATTCTATCAATAAATAAACATACTGTATAGGGGGTATATTTTGGATATTATCATTAATATTGATAGAATTTCAAGTTCCTGTGAATATTCACTAGCCCAAAAGACATTTCACTATTATGATTAATTCGTTCCAAACATTTCTTTATATTGCCTTTTTACTGCGAAATATTGGTAGCCAAGGAGAAATGTGGTAGTCATGGGCTATCGGACTACTGCTACTTTCGAACACTGAAAAATCTCCGGGTTTAGACCCCTCTGTATATTTGAGGAATAAAACTTGCAATAATAAAACTAATGAAAAGGGAATGAACTTAAGCTGATATATGTATGCCTTGTTTAGACCCTGGGTCCATTCTAGAATATAGCCTAGTATAGTAAAAAAAATTTACTATAAGATGGCAGTATTCTGAAAGACCGTCAGACTCAAGGACTTGTCTGGTAAAGTTAGGTAGGAAGGGCCAAAACACCAATTTTGGGGAAGGGGCCTCAGCCTTTTTCTTGGGGAAAAAAATGCGTGATTTTGGCATACTTTGGGAAAAGGGGTTTCAAATTTAACACAAACTTTTAACAAGTTCTTCAAAATAGACAAGCAAAAAGCACTGGGCAATACAAATTTGGCAGTAAAAAACCTTAATTCAACCTCATTATTTAATTTTTTCCAAATTCTATGGGAAATTTTAAAAGACTGGGGAATTTTGAGGATCAAACTGGGGAAAAAAAGGGGCTAGTTTGGTTGGGGAAGTAGCCTATATTCAGCCTCTACAAAGAAGGGTTTTTAGGCCCTGGCAGGCCCAATAAATTTTCCCATGTGATAAGATTGTGATTCTTGTTGAAATATGAGAGTCATCTAGGTTTTTTATAATTATATATCTATATATATCTATTATTTTATAACCCTGATGAAGACTCGTGAGAGTCGAAACGTCTTATCATCATTAAATAAACCTTAAAACTTATCCTGTGTTGATTGTTTGTTCCACTTGTATTGTTTTTATTGTATTATATATCTATGTTAAATTGAATTTTGCATTGTTTGCTTAAGCCTGAAGGGCTCTTAGGTTATATAGAATTCATTTTTTATGTTACAAGACGAAGTATCTGCAAAAAATTATTAATTGCTTCAGTGAAATATTCCCATTTTGGGTTTAATACGGATACAATGTATTTCAACTCGCTTCATTTGACATGTACATGTTTGGATAAACATGCACAACTTAAAAATATTATAGAAACTTGGATTTTACTGGAGATGTGTAAATACAGTTTTTTTTAATTTAAATTATTGCATGTTTTATACAAATTGTCATTAAATTTTCATGTGCCTGATGGGACAGACTGGTTATAATTTTAACTTGCTTGTTGGTAATTTAACTTGCCCTGGGCTTCAAGCAAGTGTTTTATCTCAAATACTGGGACAGTGGGAAGGTATTTAAAAGCTTGCCTCATATCTCTGTAATCTGCACACTGGGTTAAGGGAGTTGCCAGGGTAATAATTGACTGGTAGCTGGTACCCATAAATTTCATTGCACTTTTAATTTTGAAGATGTGATACTATTAAATAACAATCATTTAATTATATAATATATATTTAGTAATTCTACTGAATCTGAAAGCAATATTCTGATAAGACATATATTTTAAATGTCAATTTATCTTAATGAAATTTAATCATTTGTAACTAATTTAAAAAATTTACTGTAGTAATATTTGATTGATTAAAAATGATTTCTTTTTACAGGCTTTTACAGACTATTTGGACTCGACTGTTGAAACACTTTGGAATGATGCAAGCGGTACCAAAGAAACCAAACTTTAAATGCCCAAAATTTTCAGGTGTGTACATTATTTGTATATATCCTTTATAAATATTCTTTTTTATACCCCCGCACAACAAAGTTGTAATTATACCCCCGCACAACAAAGTTGTAAGGGGGGTATACTGGAATCAGCTTGTCCGTCCGTCCGGCTGTCCGTCCGTCCGGCCGGCCGTCCGTCCGGCCGTCCGTCCGTCGGTTTTTTCTTGTCCGCCCAATAACTTAAGATTCCTTTGACCCTTAGTCTTTATATTTGGCATGGAGGTTAGTCATGATTAGAGGTGCGCGGTTTAACCGGTATACCGGTAAACCACGGTCCGAGACATCTGCGGTACGTACCGCGGTACAGACCTGGAAAACCGGTACTTTTAGCTCTAATTTAAAACAATTACAGATCCGTAAAATGTACTTAATTAAAAAACTTTTTCTGTTGTATATGTTAATGTTTCTTTGAGTAAACCTTTTTGCAAACAACTTTCGCCGACTATTATCATTCTTCGATAGTTCTTAGCGAAAATTGAATGCATGTAAGCCAGAATTGTCGACTGGCATGATCACAGTTGAAGAAGCAAGAATTGTTGACTTACATTTACTTGTCCAAATATCGCTTATTTGATACGAAAACTAATCGTAAAGATTGATAATTCATGAAGGCATTCCTTGCATAAAATTAGGGTGTTACTATTTTAAGTATTTATATAAATAGCGACCAATCAGGCTAGGGGTTTTCCTTACGTCACGCACTTACTGCATGCGCATGGAAATTAACTAATTATAGAACGGCGTAGAAACTGGATTAAAAGTAATGTTCGTTCAACTAATGAATATTAATTAAGCAGTAACATGGTCAGCAGTTTTCTATGTGATAATTTTAATTTGCTTTTGGGGTACATGTTTGTTTTGGTTTTTGACACAGATTAATTAAATACTTTGCCCTTGCAATAAAAAAATACAATAACAGCTGGGACTCTGTTATAAAATTAACCGACAAATAAATATTTGTCATCGGCTAACGTGCATTTGACCTATTATTTTATTAATCAATAAGCAATAAAAACATTTTATTTTTCCATTTTAACTATGCAATTTATACAACAGTTGTTAAATGTTGAAAGAGACCAATATGTAATTAAAAAACAACAACAAAAAAAACAAGAACTGATCCATGACCCAATTAATTTATGATTGTCAACATGCGAAAGTACCTGATTGAAAAAACTTAAATGATGCTTTGATTAATCAGTATTTTCTAGATCTGCTTAAATTTAATATTTGAAATTCTATACCAGCCTACCTTAATTGATACTTATTATTAACCTATAGCATACAATGAAAATCCGTGGTATACCGCGGTTTATACCGTGGTTTTTAGGAAAAAACCGTGGTATACCGTGGTATTTTCTTTCTGGCGGTACCCAACTCTAGTCATGATTAGTAGATGACCCCTATTGATTTTGAGGTCACTAGGTCAAAGGTCAAGGTCACAGGGGCCTTGACTTCAAAAAGTTTGTCCGCCCAATAACTTAAGATTCCTTTGACCCTTAGTCTTCATATTTGGCATGGAGGTTAGTCATGATTAGAAGATGACCCCTATTGATTTTGAGGTCACTAGGTCAAGGTCAAGGTCACAGGGGCCTTGACTTCAAAAAGCTTGTCCGCCCAATAACTTAAGATTCCTTTGACCCTTAGTCTTCATATTTGGCATGGAGGTTAGTCATGATTAGTAGATGACCCCTATTGATTTTGAGGTCACTAGGTCAAAGGTCAAGGTCACAGGGACCTTGAATTCAAAAAGCTTGTCCGCCCAATAACTTAAGATTCCTTTGACCCTTAGTCTTCATATTTGGCATGGAGGTTAGTCATGATTAGTAGATGACCCCTATTGATTTTGAGGTCACTAGGTCAAGGTCACAGGGACCTTGACTTCAAAAAGCTTGTCCGCCCAATAACTTAAGATTCCTTTGACCCTTAGTCTTCATATTTGGCATGGAGGTTAGTCATGATTAGTAGATGACCCCTATTGATTTTGAGGTCACTAGGTCAAAGGTCAAGGTCACAGGGGCCTTGACTTCAAAAAGCTTGTCCGCCCAATAACTTAAGATTCCTTTGACCCTTAGTCTTCATATTTGGTATGGAGGTTAGTCATGATTAGTAGATGACCCCTATTGATTTTGAGGTCACCGGGTCAAAGCTCAAGGTCACAGGGACTTTGAATTCAAAAACTTTGTCTGCCCAATAACTTTAGATTCCTTTGACCCACAGTCTTCATATTTGACATGGATGTTGATCATGATTAGTAGATGACCCCTTTTGATTTTGAGGTCACTGGATCAAAGGTCAAGGTCATAGGGACTTTGACTTCAAAAAGTTTGTCCACCCATTAACTTAAGATTCCTTTGACCCACAGTCTTCATATTTGGTATGGATGTTGATCATGACTATAAGGCGACCCCTATTGATTTTGAGGTCACTGGGTCAAAGGTCAAGGTCACAGGGACCTTGACAAAAAAAGCTTTTCTTCTCAATTGCTAAAGAATGTCCTGTCCGCAATGTATTGATTTTGACATTTTCACATTTGAAGCATGTAGAATACATAACTTAGCAATGCACTGGCTTAGTAACCTCAGTTTTGGCAGGGAGGTTGTCCTTGAGCTCTAAATGGCCACTGTTAATTCTGACAAAGTGGTATGCGGGGGTATTCACGCCATGATAGTGGCAGTTCTAGTTTCCTTTTGATTATAGCAGGAGCTGCTGAGAGGCAATTCTTCCTCCAAGAAAATTCCTTAAAATCAATTCACATAAAGTTTTTTTTATGGAGCACAATACCTGCATTTTATACACACTTCTTAAGTGTTGATATCCTTTTCAACGGTCATTTTGGGTTTAAAAAAACTAGGTCACAGAGCCCAAACATTGTCTATTCTAGGACGTGCGATTTTGGGATTCACGCTATTTTTTTTAAAAGATTGTGCACATTATGGAAACAGGTGCGTGAAAATCTGGCATCTGAATTGATAAATTTTCTCAAAAAAGCATACATTTGTCTAGTCGGCCTATTTATTTACATGAACACTGGACCTGAAGGGAGGTAATTGTGAACTTTAGTAAAAGAAAAGAATTGAAGGGGACTACTCTTGTTGCTGTTAATAAATATTTTCATTCAAAGAATATCATTGGTTGAATTTTTTTATGTATAAAGTTGATGACGGAGTTCAGACAAATCATTTTGTAAAGAATAATTTATTTCTTTTGTAAACCTGGCTTTGTTCAAGCATCATTCTCATGGGGCAGGGGATGCACTATTATATGTTACCCCAAAATACACCTGAAAATGAAAGTCGCTGATTTGTTGCTATATAAAAAAAAACAAAAAAAAACAATCTAGCTACCTTTCCAATTTTTTTTGAAATCAAAAAGACAAGTCATGACTTGAAATAAACAACAACAATTTTTACACAATTGCACTTGAGATTGGCACCCCTTGTTTGCACTATTTTAAATGTAGATATGAATAAATGATATTAGTTAAAGATTAAGACATTATATCTGCTGATCATTCATTGTTAACATTATTGATTGATCCTTATTATTCCTTTATAATCAGGTGATTGACCAAGGGTCATCATCATCACGACCCTTTTGTTTGTTAATACATGAAATGTTGTTAATTTGAACAAATCTTTTGTTAATGTACATGAAATTTTAATGAAGTTTGATGACGTGTCACAAGTATTATATATAGTAGGCTGTAAATAAACCAATTCCAGCATTTTCAAAGTCCCTTCATGGATAAGTCCTGTAAACTGAACATTTTTATTGGACCAAACATGATGTAAAGACCAAAAAAAACCCCACAAAAAACAACACCTTCTTGGTAGCATTTTCACTTTAATTTGGTACTTTGACAAAAAATCTTCCTGCATTTTCAATTTTCCAAGGCATTTTTATACTCCTGAATTTTTTTTGGGGGTGTTTATCATTATGTACCTCAGTGATTTTCCTACTTATATAACAGACTCCGAAAAAGGGCCTCTTCCCAATTGAAATTTTCTTTAAAATCATGCAGTTTTCCCAAAATCTGAACTGAAACATGCTTTTTTCTTCCCAAATTAGCAATTTTAGCGATAATTTTTCCCAAAATCAAGAGGCTAAGGCCTCTTCCCAATTAAGCGAGAAAAATCACTGTACCTGGTCATCAATCTATATGTCAGCAATTTTGTGTCCACTCTATCTTTTGAACGAATGAAGGAAATGTGAACCATTATATTTTTAATTAGATGATCGATATGCAGATCGTAGGTTTGACCTTTCTGAGGTGAAGGTTAATTCACACTTAGGCTAAATTAAAAAAATTGTGTCCCCACAGTAACAGATAAATGGAAATCAAAAAATAGGTAAAAATGTTGTTTATCCTGAGACAATGTAAAGAACATGAGTCATTGCTTCCATTAAAGTAACAATGCCTAGAGCTTAGATATGAGGCATAAAGCATCATTGCCTTGTGGATTTCTAGAAAACAGATAATAAATAAGATATAACATTTTTCATACAGGTTTCATAAATGGGTGTCTTCCCTGACTAAAAGATTATGATTGATTTCTCAAACAAATTTTTTTTATTATGCCCCCACAAAGTGGGGAGCATATAGCGTTGCACTTGTCCGTCCGTCTGTCCGTCCGTACGTCCGTCCGTCCGTACGTCTGTCCGTCCGTCCATACGTCCCGAAATCTTGTGAACGCAACTCCTCTTAAACCGGATGGCAGATTTTGCTTAAACTTCCAGGGATGAACAACCTTAATGTGTAGATGGTAGTAAAGAAAGGAATTTTTGCTGCGATCAAATTTAACAGAATTATGGCCCTTTGTTGATTTTTTCACTATATACCATATAGAAATTTTGTGAACGCAACTCCTCTTAAACCGGATGGCAGATTTTGCTTAAACTTTCAGGGATGAACAACCTTAATGTGTAGATGGTAGTAAAGAAAGGAATTTCTGCTGCGATCAAATTTAACAGAATTATGGCCCTTTGTTGATTTTTTCACTATATACCATATAGAAATTTTGTGAACGCAACTCCTCTTAAACCGGATGGCAGATTTTGCTTAAACTTCCAGGGATGAACAACCTTAATGTGTAGATGGTAGTAAAGAAAGGAATTTTTGCTGCGATCAAATTTAACAGAATTATGGCCCTTTGTTGATTTTTTCACTATATACCATATAGAAATTTTGTGAACGCAACTCCTCTTAAACCGGATGGCAGATTTTGCTTAAACTTCCAGGGATGAACAACCTTAATGTGTAGATGGTAGTAAAGGAAGGAATTTTGGCTGCGACCAAATTTAAAAGAATTATGGCCCTTTGTTGATTTTTTATGCCCCCACATAGTGGGAGCATATAGCGTTGCACTTGTCCGTCCGTACGTCCGTCCGTACGTCCCAAAATCTTGTGAACGCAACTCCTCTTAAACCGGATGGCAGATTTTGCTTAAACTTTCAGGGATGATCAACCTTAATGTGTAGATGGTAGTAAAGGAAGGAATTTTCGCTGCGACCAAATTTAACGGAATTATGGCCCTTTGTTGATTTTTTTCACCATATACCATATAGAAATTTTGTGAACGCAACTCCTCCTAAACCGAATGGCAGATTTTGCTTAAACTTCCAGGGATGAACAACCTTAATGTGTAGATGGTAGTAAAGGAAGGAATTTTTGCTGCGACCAAATTTAATAGAATTATGGCCCTTTGTTGATTTTTTCACTATATACCACATAGAAATTTTGTGAACGCAACTCCTCTTAAACCGGATGGCAGATTTTGCTTAAACTTTCAGGGATGATCAACCTTAATGTGTAGATGGTAGTAAAGGAAGGAATTTTCGCTGTGACCAAATTTAACAGAATTATGGCCCTTTGTTGATTTTTTCACTACCCAGCCACAAATACAGTACGTTTTAGGTACAATAGAAGTACCTATAAAGCCCCACAATGTAGTATCAATATGGTATCACTTAAGTACCTGCTTCTAGTGTACTTTATTTTATGGAGCAAAATTTAACATTCACTCGAACAGGGGGAAGTACACTTAAAGCTCCGTCTAAAATATTTAAATTATGCTTCAAAGATACTTCTTTTAAGAAAGCATATATAAAGCATCAGTCAGGTAGTACCTACAAGCTCAGCATGGTAGGCTCAGGGAAGTACATTTTAAGTATCAATTTAGGAAGTACCTTTAAAGCTTTACCAGAAGTACAATAGAAGCATCACTTGGAGCCCTTTTAAACATCAGCTTGAAATTAATAATGAAGTACATTTGAAGCACAACATAAAGAAGTTCATTTAAAGCATGATCATTTATTGAAGTATATTAAAAGCATCAAACACTATATATCTTAAGAAGTTCAATTTAAGCATCAAGTTGAAGTTCATTTAAAGCATCATTGAAGAAGTACATTTAAAGCATCATTGAAGAATTACATTAAATGCATCATAAATTATATATATAAAGTTTTAAATTGTTAAAGGGTATAAATCTATATCTTATGAAATATTTTAATAAACTCTATCAACGGTAAAATAATATTGGTTCCATTTTTATATGATTGATTGTACTGTTTAAATAACCCATAATTTACTGAAACAGAAGGGCCCCTTGCCCTCAAAATGTAAATGTTATGAATAATCATGACCTGCACAGGAATGTAATTTACTGGTTCATAATGTAAAGAAAAGGGCAGATTTAAAATTTCCCCCTTAATAACACTCAGTGAAAAAGATTTAAATTAGGACATATGTAAAATTTATGAAGAGAAACAAAAACTAAACTTATACTTAGTGTTAATTTAAGGTAAATTTGAAAAGGCTGATGTAACAAAATAGTCTAAATAGCTTACCATTATTCCATTGAACAATAGTAAATTTCCATTTCCATCTGATTGAAGAACTCATTTAATGTCCCATTATAATTTCATTAAAGTTCACATTATAAAGTTGTTTCATATAAATGACACTTTAGGCACATGTTTAACTTTAGTCCTAAGCATCTTTATAAATTATAAGCACTGAGGTCCAAAGAAACTTCCTGAGTATTATTTGAATTTTCTGAGAGCCAGATTTGTTCAGGATATTAGATTACATGTTGTAAACCCCACTTATCTAACACTTTCTTTTATATAAGATAGGCGAGTTTAACACAGGCTATTATGAAAACAGCAAGGAGAAACTCTTGACCCCTCACTGACCAATTACACATGGTTTATATTATGTTACAATCACTTGTGTTTGTGAGTTAAATTTTACTCAATTCTCAAAAGTACATATGAAGTCCCTAGAAATATGCTTTATATTTTCATATAAGTGTTTAAGGCATCATTGAAGCCCCATTACTGTTCTTATCTATTTATTAATGTTTACAAAGCATCAACAAAGTCCCTGGCACTTCCAGCAGAAGTTCCCTGGGCTTCTACTGAAGCAGGTATGTGTTAGGAAGAGTATACTTGAAGTTCCAGGGGCTTCATTTGAAGTATGGTTGTTGTGTATCATTGAAGTCTGTAGGACTTCAGATGAAGCAGGTCTTATAATCTGTAAGTATATCTGAAGTACATTTCAGGTATACTTAAAGCTGGGGGACTTACCTGAAGCATGTGCTTCATTTGTGGCTGGGTATATACTATGTAGAAATTTTGTGAATGCAACTCCTCTTAAACCGAATGGCAGATTTTGCTTAAACTTCCAGGGATGAACAACCTTAATGTGTAGATGGTAGTAAAGGAAGGAATTTTTGCTGCGACCAAATTTAACAGAATTATGCCCCTTTGTTGATTTTTTCACTATATACTATGTAGAAATTTTGTGAATGCAACTCCTCTTAAACCGGATGGCAGATTTTGCTTAAACTTCCAGGGATGAACAACCTTAATCTGTAGATGGTAGTAAAGGAAGGAATTTTTGCTGCGACCAAATTTAAAAGAATTATGGCCCTTTGTTGATTTTTTCACTATATACCATATATAAGTTGTCAGTGGGGGCATCCGTGTCCTTTGGACACAGTTCTAGTTCAGTTGTATATTGCCCTACCTTTGTGCCATTTAAATGCGATGCTTTTGCTTAACAAGTTTGTGTGTAGAAGGAAAGTAAAAAGTTCAGAATTGATATAATAATTGAGTATTTTCATCTAATGTTAGCCATAAAGTATGGAGATCGTATAGTTTATAATTATATTTTATATTACTGTCATATTTCAGTGCCAGCTAAACCTTCCAGTGAGAAATCAAATTCTACTGAAAACAAAGGAAAACAGGTATGTTGTATAGTGATGTTAAAAAGCACACACAGATTAAAGCAGGTGCTGAAATGAAATAGCTTTTATGACAAGATTGTAGATGTAAAATTGAATTAAACAAATTATTTTTAGTTAAGTGTTTTTACAACTTGACAATTTGCATTAGAACTATTAAAAGTCTTTTTTTTTTTCATCACACACTGACGCAGGGAGTCAAATTATAATCTTTGGGGGGGGGGGGGGTCATTTATTAAAGTAGGCACATAAATTAAAAGCCAGAAATGATTAAAATTAGCAGGTGTGCCATATGTTGCAGGGGAATTTACCAATACAATTCTGGGACATAATATAACCCAATCTTACAGGAACAGGTCAGGGTCCAATTAATTCTAAAAGATATATTTTAATTGGACATCTCCTATTTTTGCATCTAAACAAACTACTGTTTCGACCTGTGAGTAAGGGCACTAAGAGGATAGACAGAAAGTAAGAACCCTGCTTTTTCCACCTGCTGTTGCACATAGTTTAATTGATCCATTGTTTGGGAATTCAGGGTTTGACTTGTGCACAAGTGAGTTGTGCTTTACATAATTATTAATAATTTCCCATTTTGAAGATTAAGTTTTTGAATGACAAAAAAGAAAAAAAAAAGGGATAACTTTATTTTATAAAGTCTGGACAATTGGAAATCAAAAAAACATTTGGCACACTTTAACTGATAAACTTATCAAGCCTATATGCATCATTCTGTGTAGGAAAAGAAAGAAGCGAAGAAGAAGCCTTTGTCTGTGGAAATAAGAGCTGATGGTGACAGTAATGTTTCTGCCACAAAGCAGTTTCTTAAAGCTAATCCAAGTGGAGATCATAAGACTGAAAGTGCTGAAATAAAAGACACCTTCAAGCCAGAAGATGTACCGGAGTCTGGAGACAATGTCAAAACAAGTCTTTTAAAGGTAACCTTTCATTTATTATAAGACTATCTAATTCACAAACAGAAAGTATATGTAGATTCTAATACATGGAATTTATAATATAAAATAATTTAAAATGGATAAAAAAAGATGGATAATTTGATATAAGAAAAAAGTATAATTGCAAGAAAAGATTAAAGAAATAGATGGTGCAATGGTCAGAAATAGAAAAAAACAATTAACTTTTATCGTCAAACCGTCTAAGTGATTATCTGTCGTTTATCATTCTACAGGAACAAGAAATTGCAAACAAAAATGATGGACTGGAAGGTGACCATGTAAAAGCCAAACAACTTTCAACAACTGTATCAGAGAAAAAGGTATCCTGTCATAATTGTACAAAATGCATCTTTCTTACAACTAACCATATTCTTAGAAGAAGTTATATATTATCATACCTTGCGTAAACTTTTTAGTATTGGCCACTCAGTTCTTCGTGTCTAGTATAACAACAATTTTTAAAAAAAATATAAAATGGATGTGAAAAAAAAAATTATGAATAACAAAATTCGAATGATTATATTGACCTGAAATCAGAGCCACCTATCGGATTTATAAATCAGAACAAAGGGAAGTAACTCAATCAAGACTACTATGTTGGATTACACTAAAATCCGACGTCGTATCGACGTAATTCCAACACGTTGATACGACGTCGCAAATACAACGTTGTATTTAGGATTTTGACGTCGTGACATAAATTCAACTTAGATCCAACGTTGAAACAACGTCAGGTGTTTGCTGGGTAATTTAGTAATACATAGCTGATTTGAAACTTACATTAAAATGTTGGTTTGGTATAGTAACAGAAATAACAAATGTCTCTCAGGGTGTTATTTCAGTTCTTGGATTGCTAATATGCACTAATTTACCCTGAGAAACAATATAATTATATGTTCTATTTATAATCAGGGTTCGACGTTAACGGGATCCCGGGATTCCGAGGATCCCAAAAAGTTGGGAGGAATCTCTGTGATTCCTAGCTGGGGATTCCGTTGGGATCCCTGAAAAATTGCTGTGTAAATTTTTGAAATTGTCTGAATTAATATCATTGAATCACAAATATTCAAGAAAAGAGTTAATAAAGACTGGCAGAACTGCAATGTTCAAGAAAGAAAAGAAAAATCCCGCCGGTAAAATCTACGCTCTTGAATCATGTACGCCAGATTTCCTTTGTGCAGTGACTGCTATCAACTCATTTGCGATATATAATGAAAATAATTTTGGCTAAAGAAACATTCTTGAATAATTTTATATCATGCATTGACTTCATAATATTAAGTTGTGAAAATTCAAGAAAGAAAAATAATTATCGTATAATTATTACACGAGCGGTGTGTACTTCAAATATGTGCAGATCGGCGTTGCCGGCGGTAGCTACGAAGTTTTTTTTTTGTGTGCAAAAATTCGGCATTTGTTGATCATTGTAAATTTTCGTAAAAAAGAGGGGAAAAAAAGAAAAGATTACTGATGTATTTTTTTCCCCTGTAGTACACAGGTTATCGGCGTGGGACCAAGCCCTACCCCTAAGGTACCATCCCCAGGACCCACAATACTACCCAAATATACTTCAATATATTCAAAATACATGTCAATACAAAATCAAACAATTCTATCAAAAAATATAATACTATACTAGTATATATTGAAGTATATTTGGGTAGTATTGTGGGTCCTGGGGGTGGTACCTTAGGGGTAGGGCTTGGTCCCACGCCGATAACCTGTGCTGTAGTACAGCAAAAGTATAATTAATAAATAGAAAAAAAGAATCCATACTTTTCAGTTTAAAATCCTTTTTGAAACTCTGCAGCCTAATTGCTAAAAAATATTGTCTAACTAAAGACTGAAGTGTTCTAAGGTCAATCAAGGTCACGCATAATTTACCAACAAAAAAATAGAAAAATCCTTAGGTGAAACATACACCAAATGAGTATATTTCATCTGACAGTTCTTTGGGCCAATCAGTGCTCTGAACTACATGACTGCTGTATGCGGTGAGTGCCTTTGATGTGGCATATGTCAAAACTTAAAAGAAATCAATACACACAGGGAGGAAAAGAATCGGGCATTTCAGTGTAAAAATTGAGAACAATAAATTTGGATATTACACATCCTGTCATGGACTTGGAGCAACTTTTTATTTTTAAAAACAAAATCATTTGAAGGTACCCTATTTGTAATGCAAACAAAACTTTTTTCTTGATATTTTAGCTTTAGTAAAAATTTAACAAAATATTTAATTTACATGTAACAATCGATGAGATATTTCCTTTTAAACACAAAAAGTGTACAGTAAGATGAAAATCACTTTTTATGCCTCCACAGAGTGGGAGCATATAGCGTTGCACTTGTCCGTCCGAGTGTCCGTCCGTCAGTCCGTCCGTCCGTCAGTCAGTCCGTCCGTACGTCCCGAAATCTTGTGAACGCAACTCCTCTTAAACCGGATGGCAGATTTTGCTTAAACTTACAGGGATGAACAACCTTAAGGTGTAGATGATAGTAAAGGAAGGAATTTTCTCTGCGACCAAATTTTACAGAATTATGGCCCTTTGTTGATTTTTTCACTTTATACTATGTAGAAATTTTGTGAACGCAACTCCTCTTAAACCGGATGGCAGATTTTGCTTAAACTTCCAGGGATTAACAACCTTAATGTGTAGATCGTAGTAAAGGAAGGATATTTTGCTGCGACCAAATTTAACAGAATTATGGCCGTTTGTTGATTTTTAGTTTTCAACTTGTGGCACATGTAGTCCAAAAAATATTTGACCTAGAGTCATAAGATTGACAGAACAGTGGCGTGAGGGGTCATCAGTGTCCTATGGACACATTTCTAGTTTCACTATATACTATGTAGAAATTTTGTGAACGCAACTCCTCTTAAACCGCATGGCAGATTTTGCTTAAACTTACAGGGATGAACAACCTTAATGTGTAGATGGTAGTAAAGGAAGGAATTTTTGCTGCGACCAAATTTAACAGAATTATGGCCCTTTGTTGATTTTTTCACTATATACTATGTAGAAATTTTGTGAACGCAACTCCTCTTAAACCGCATGGCAGATTTTGCTTAAACTCACAGGGATGAACAACCTTAAGGTGAAGATGGCAGTAAAGGAAGAAATTTTCGCTGCGACCAAATTTAACAGAATTATGGCCCTTTGTTGATTTTTTCACTATATACTATATAGAAATTTTGTGAATGCAACTCCTCTTAAACCGGATGGCAGATTTTGCTTAAACTTCCAAGGATGAACAACCTTTATGTGTAGATGGCAGTAAAGGAAGGAATTTTCGCTGCAACCAAATTTAACAGAATTATGGCCCTTTGTTGTTTTTTTCATTATATACTATGTAGAAATTTTGTGAACGCAACTCCTCTTAAACCGGATGGCAGATTTTGCTTAAACTTCCAGGGATTAACAACCTTATGTGTAGATGGTAGTAAAGGTAGGAATTTTTGCTGCGACCAAATTTAACAGAATTATGGCCCTTTGTTGATTTTTAGTTTTCAACTTGTGGCACATGTAGTCCAAAAAATATTTGACCTAGAGTCATAAGATTGACAGAACAGTGGCGTGTGGGGGCATCCGTGTCCTATGGACACATTTCTAGTGTTTTTTAAAGTGATCATAATTAAACATTTCATTTCAAATGACATGAAAGTAAATATTTTCCAAAAGTTATCCATACCAGAACTTACTGGAATATGGAGCCTAATCATTATCTGTAAGTTTTTAAAGATCTACATATGATATGTTGGCTCTATTTCAGTGAACCCTAGGCTATCTTGGAAAATGTTTCCCCAGTTCCTACTTAACTTCAAAAGTTCAAACCCTAAGTCCCATTGCCCAGTCCTTGCATTATACCTTCCTTTACAGAAACTGATTCACAATTATCAACCCCAGGGAGAAAACAGGTTTTATTTTCAAATCGAACTCTTGTTCAGTGGTGAGCTTAATGTTATTTTGTTTACGTGCATGTAAAAATGTATTATGCTTTAATTTATCTTAGCAGTCCAATTATATATATACTAGTAAAGTAAACACTTTGAAACACTTTTAAAACTTTAAACAGCAATATTTCTAAAGGGCTCATATGGCCAGTTATGTGTTGACATGCCGTAAAAATCCAAGCAAACAAAAAAAAAAAACCCAAAGGGCTCATAAACTACATTTTCTGCATCTGAAACAAGGCAATATATCATGTATGTTGTCTTTAAAAAAAAAAATTGAAATCGGATTGCTGCACACCCTTGTTGTTATTCTTTGCCTTCATATTTTACTATTTTGATCTGAGGAATCCCTGACAATTAGGAGGAATCCCTGAATTTAATCTCAGGGATTCCTATGGGATCCCTTGTTAAAACAGTTAGTGTCGAACCCTGATAATAGTACACAAAAAATATCATATTGATAATTATTATTAATACACTTATACACTTATCCTTAAGATTAACAGAATAACATTATTAAATTTTTAGTTTTGACATGTTCAAAACTTATAACTTGTATAAATAAATTTTGGGAGATTTAAAATTATTTAAAGTGAATTTCTAAAAAATACAAAAGTTTATTGATATTGGTACATAATGATTAATGACTTGAACTTCTACTGTAGTCTATTACAGTACACAATATAATGATGTAATTAAACATTGTTAAGTACAATACTGAAATCTACTGGACTCTGAAAATAAAAACAAGGCTGAACAGTGTACAATGTGGAATTGATACAGAATTTTTGAACTGGCAATATCAAAAGAAGGTTAAATTGATAAAATTGAATTCAATTATGATTTATATTGGGTGATCACATGATTCAAAAGCTGGAGGTTTAATAGCTACGTTTTATAAGTAGTGAAACCGATATAAGTATTCAACAGATCTTTTTTAGCTCGACTTTTCGCAGAATAATCGAGCTAATGCAGTCACCCATTTGTCGGCGTCAGCGTCCCTGTGGTTAAGTTTTTGCGTGCAAGCTGGTATCTCCATAACTACTGAAGGGAATGGATTGAAACTTCACACGCTTGTTGTCTGTGATTATCTAACATGATTGGCACAAGTCCCATAACTCTGATTTGCTTTTTTGCATAATTATGCCCCTTTTTCGACTTAGAAATTCTTGGTTAAGTATTTGCATGCAAGCTGGTATCTCCAGAACTACTGAAAGGAATGGATTGAAGCTTAGCCACACACTTGTTCTCTGTGATTATTTAACTTGATTTTCACAAGTCCAATAACTCCGATTTGCTTTTTTGCATAATTATGCCCCTTTTTCTACTTAGAAATTCTTGGTTAAGCATTTAATATCTCCATAACTACTAAAGGGTTTGTACCTTTTTTTGAACAATTTTATGCATTTTATAATAATAAAGCAGTGATTAACTCGATAAAACATCTTAATAACAAGCCTTTGTACCTTTTCGGACAATTTTATGTATTCATAATAGGTAAGCATTATTATACTCAATGAAACACACTTGTGACAACTTTTCGAATAGTCGAGCGTTACTGTCCTCTGACAGTTCTTGTTAAAGATCAAGATAATATGACATCAAGTTAAAAGTACTGTAAATGTTGTAAAAATAAGGTCAAGCTAAATATTTTAATGTATTGTGAAGGCTATATATTTGTTGTATCATTATCTTTCATTGAAAGGTTATTAAAAAGAAGAACAAAACAAAGACAGAGTTCAGTGTGACACCAGCATCAGACATTCAGAAAAATGATGAAAACAAGGTAATAATATCTCTTAAAATTGGTTTCATTATTTTAATTTTAGCTCCACTGTTCAAAGAAAAAAGTAGAAGTATTGCCATGACCCTCTCGTATGTGTCTGTGTTGGTTAACCTATGTGATAGGTTTATTTTGTCAGAAAGTACAAAAGTTTCATTTTGTCGGAAAGTATAAAAGCTATTCACTTCAAACTTGATCACACTGAACAATGCTATTATTTTTTTAAGTGGAACAACACTTTCTTATATTTGTTTATTATTAATAAACTGGTTTTGTGGCAATACCATGTTTCTAAAAATGTTAATTAAATATATTTGTACATTTTATTTTATCATTAAAAACAATCTGCACATATTGGCTATCTAAGAATTTAGTCTGTCTAAATGTTTAACTAAATTATCATAAATTTGAAAAAATGTAAAAAATTATTTTGCAAATACTCAACAGGAATTTAGCATGTGTTTGTTTAATTAAGATATTCATGCATGTTGTACTTATTTCTAACAGAACAATGCCAAAGAAAAAAAGAAAAAAGAAAATAAAAGTGTGGTACAGAAGCCAAAAAAGGTAAAAGAAAAGAAAGAGCCAAAAGAACCCAAAGTGGTAAGTCTCGAGCATCATTGTTTCTAAGTGTTTATATAACGGAACAATTTATCAAAAAGATAAAGAAGAAAAACTAAGTCAGAAAAGAATGAACAGTAAAAAAGTGATAACCTAGTAGGTTAATACAATTTATTAATGTCTACTAGTTTTGATCATAACAATTATCTACATCAGAGGACCAAAAAGATGAAAAAATAAAATATTGCAGAGATGTAGTGTAAGGTAATTCTGAATGATTTTCCCAACTGTTTGAATGCTAATGGCAGTTATTGACATGGTTGTGTCGTATTAGGCCAACTTTTCTATTAAATACTTTGATTTAAAACATTAGTTTGTGGATTGGCAGAATGAAAATATTTTATTATTTAGTATCCATCACCAAGAGTAACACCCTTTGGGAGACAAAGATTTGGGTTGTTGCTGAGAGGTATTCATCAGCTCTAGAGATTTTAAACTAAATCCTATGCTCACTGGGTGCAGTTCTTTTTAACACGTTATTTTCTATGTGAATACCGTATATTGTACTAGACTTTATCATTTAAATTATTTTTATACTTGCTCAGTTAAATAAACTGTCAAAAAAAACAAAAAAAACAGGTGAGAAATGTTTTTAGCTCCACATTTTGAAGATAAAATGTCGGAGTTGGTTAACCTTTTGGTTAAGGTTCGTTTTCTAGAAATTATAAAAGCTATTCACTTCAAACTTGGTATACCTGTTTATTGTCATAAAAGTACACCATTTCCAGAAAAATCAAATGATCCTTAAATTAATTATTTGCTAATTAAGTTATATCCTCTTTTCAAATTGTTTTTTTTTAGCCATGGTAAATCTTTTTTAATAAGGTTCATTTTCTCAGAAACTAACAAACTTATTCACTTCAAATCTTATATAAATGTCTGCTATCAAAATGTGACACCATTTCAGAATGGCTGATAATCTGAAAATTAATTTTGCAAAGTCATGCCCCTTTTTAAGTTTTTTTTTCTTTTCTCTCTTATGTTGATTTCTCAAAAACTGTTTCACTTTAGACTTGGAATACTTACAAGTTCAATTTTTAAATCTGAATGCATTTCTAAAATTTATTTTATTTTTTCATTGTAAATATGTCTCTATTTGACTTTGAATTTTGTGGTTAACTTTTTTATAAAGGTATATTTCTTAAAAATTATTCAAGGTATGCACTTAACTTGGAGCACTTTTCCACTATCAAAGTTGAAATGCATTTGTAGAAGCCATATATTTTTGCTTCATTATTTCCTTTTTTTCTAAATTTGAATATTTTACTCTTTTCTCAAAAACAGTTATAGTTACAATCACTTCAATTTAAATATTTGTTGGCTATCAAGGCAAGGTAAGTTTGCAAGGCATAATTTCAGAATTATGCCCCTTTTCCTTGTTGCTTTTAGTTAACTATCAAGCAAAGATTTTTTTTAAACAAAATTTTGCTAAAATTGACTTAAAAATCATAGAGATTTAGTTATTTTTTTGGAGGGATTTGTGTTGTGTTATATTTTACACAAAGTTTTATTGATTACAGACACTTCCAGTAAGGTCCTTAACAGATGAGGAATATACAGCCATATTTGATGCTACAATAGAAAATGCAATGAACCTAAATATTGATGGTATGTTCTTTTAAAGCTATTATGATACTTATTGTTTGCTTGTTGAAGCTTGCAAATGTTCCATGGCATGGGTTTTACTTAAGTTTTGTTATGACTAATTATAAATATTTTTTACACTATAAGAAAGTTATTAACACTTCCAAGTCACTTCTTCAGAGCTGTTTACCTCTACGGATTGCCCTTATTTCCTACGGATTCGCCGCATAAACTACGCACTACGAATTAATAACGAAAATTTCCGATAAATTAAGCACTTAATGCGCTGAAAAGTGTCATTCTGGGTGATCTGGACGCTTATAAAAGCGTATAACAATTCATGCCTCTCTCGTCGTGTTTAATTGGCATTCGGAATACTCGGCAATTTAAGTTGGAACCTGAAAGGAAAATTGTTAACATGGGGAAACGAAAATGGAACGGCCCGGGAGGCGAGGAATCGCCTGTTAAACGCAAGAAATCATCACAAAAGTTTCTAGATTCTTACAGAGAACTGTGGCCCTGTCTCTTACCATTTCGTAAAGATGCCCATTTTATACACTGCTCCGTGTGTTTGAGTGATTTTAGTTGCATGCATGCGGGGAGAAAGGATTGCAAGAGACATGTTAACAGTAAACAACATAAGGATTATGAACAACTTAAATAGAAACAAAAATCTGTAAAGTGGTTCATTCCTCAAGTAACAATACAACAACAACAAGTAACTAATGCTGAATTGCCGATGTCACAGTTCATCTGCCATTGGAATTTACCACTGGCTACTGCTGACACAATGACTAAATTGATAAAAAAGATGACCAAGTGTGATTATAAATCTAGGGCCTAAAAACTACTGACATGTGTCTAAAACTACTGATAAACCACTTTCCGACTACTGACAGGGCATTAATGGGGTAAAAAAGTCTGCTTCTTCCAAGAAAAAGCTTTAGGAAGTAAGATCAATAACATTTTTGAAATGTGCTTAAAAATGGGATTTAATGAAAGGAAATGTTAGAAAAATATATTTCATATCTATAGACACAGATAGATAATTCAAAAAGCCATCATCATATTTCACTTTCCACACAAAGATAATATATAGAGGATATTTGTTTAGTTCAGTGTAAGATCGAAATATATTTCACCGAGTGAGCACCAAAAGGTATATTTCACGAGTGGCGCAGCCACAAGTGAAATATGAACTTTTGGTGTTTACAAGGTGAAATATATTTCGATCTTACACTAAACTAAACAAATTTTCTTTTTATTATATGCAAAGAAACGTTTTAAAAAGACATTAAACCTAATACTGAATGAAAAGTGCGCCAAACAATAATACAACGTGACGTCATTTACGACATCACGTCATTAAGTTGGTACCCAGTACTGTGCACGCTGGTATTTCACTGAAACAACGTAAGGGGCTTAAATTCAAAACAGTGAAATTATCAAAGTGGTAATTTCACTGTTTCAACCAGTGAAATTACCAGTTTTATATCACTGATATATTTCTATAAACCACCGAAAAGCATGTAATAAATACCCTTCCTTATGTATTTCAGAATGGGCTCCTAAGGCAACTTCACCTTCAAAGAAAAAAGAGCCAGTCAAAAAGAAGTACAGTATAACAGTGGGGAAAAAAGAAAAGAAAACTGAAGTTTCTACTCAAGAATCCTGTCCTAGACCAAGTACAGGAATGATTGAAAATACTGAAGGTTCTAATCTTAGATTATTTTTACCATATTTGTGGACCTTTTATGTTGTATAGATTTCTGTTTTTAGGTCCGGTATTTTATTCTTTATTTACAGCATGTTTCTTATAATTATTAACAGGATACTAATTGACACATGACTTTTGACTTCCATACAAAATACTTAACCACTATGACTTTGCTAATTTCCAGAAAGAAGCAAATTAAAGCAAGACATGATTAAGTTAATTGGCCAATGAGTAATATTTTGGAAATTATAAATGTACACCAAAAATGAAAGCTTTTGAAAAATAAGAATAAAACCTTTTCTGGAGCATAATGGGGCCTTTAAGGATTATCCTCCATGCTATCCCCCCTTTATTTAGAATGATTAGGGGCCATAAACTTTGAATCCCAGAAAAAAAATCCCACAGAATTGTTTGTTCAAAATGAACATAAACAGTTAACCTATGATATTTGACCACCCTTAAATTGCTGAAGTTCTTGAATGGACTTGTCCAGCTTCCATTTTTTTGGAACTAACCATTGTCGATTTTTGAGAATTTCAAGATGAAAAATTTGAAGTCTGTCGGGAAACAGTAAAGAGCCTGGTCAGACAGCATGGATGTTTAAATCATGTTATAAATCACCATTCTGTTTTCTATATTATTGTCAGGTTAGGTAATAATTATTTTGGCGTTTATTTCCTAAATTATTCCTACATGCTTTAAGTATTTCATAAATTATCCTACATACCTTTAAATTAAAAGCAAATTTAAAGTTTAAAAAAAAGCCCCAAATTTTTTAGTTCAAAAACATTTTTTATTTTTTTGGTTCTTTGTTTCTTAAAGGGGGTTATTTAAAGGGGCAGAAGTTTTTTTTTTGGTCTGGGAAAAACATTTAAATTGAAAAACAATGTGCCACAGGAGGCAAAGAATGGAAAAAAAAGCAAAAGACGGAAAAACAGGGGGGAGGTGGGGACATAGCAGTAAGAGGAAAAAGAAGACCAAAAAAATAACCCCCCCTAAATTAACATGGGAATAAGACAGTTGTTTAAAGAGAAAAAAGACAAAAACAGTTTAAGAAAGTTTAAATGGCCCCGAAAAAGGGAAAAGCCATTTAGGAAAGAGGGAAAAGGTAAAAAGGGTTTAAAAACAGAGCTGGTTGATGAAAATAACAATAATCTGGAGGATAATGGAAACAGGTCTGATGCTAATGAAGAGGAAATAGTAGTTGATGACATACAGGATGAACCTGTTGAAGAAAGGTTGGTTTCTTCTACATATAGGCAGTCTTGTGCTATTAAACTTACCGAAGGTTCACACTCCTTTGCTACACATTGTATGATGAGTTTCAGTTGTTTTAAAGGTGAAGAAATCTCAAACAAGTGATTCCACTTGTATCAGATAAGAAATATTTGAAGCTTGTGTCAAATGAGAAACATTAATAAATAAGTGATATCACTAATGTCTCAAAATTAAGAAACACTTCAAATATTTACAGCCGATTACATTTTTGGCAAATTAAAAAAGGGATACCTTAAAAGATGGAATTATTTGATTAAAATTTTAAAAAAAAATCAATCAGGTAACAAGAACAATTTGTGTGTTTACTATATAAAATTTATAGTGCTTTTTGCGATTCATAATTTTGCTTCATTTTATCAGAGCACAAGACGAAAATGAGACAACACCAGTTGGAAGCGAAGTAGATGCTGAGGAGACGCATTCCAAATGTATTATTCCTCCAGTTAAAAAGAAGAAAGTCTCTAAAGTCAACAAAAATCCAAAACTTGAGCCAAAGCAACTTCCATTTGAAAAAGCCAAAGGTTAGTGAAACATTCTTTAGACAATGTTGATGGGTAAGCAAAACACAATGCACTAAAACTAATTTTCTTTTTCTTCATGAGAAATTACCAACTTTTTGTTCCAAGGACAGAGTTGAGCAAAGCAAACCTGCAGTTTTCTCATATTCAATATTGGTTTAATTGCTCTTTTTGGATTGCCATCATTCAGAATTTGTATTATAAACCCAACATTTATTTCATGCATTGGTATTTATGCAGTTGATATTTTAATATCTTAGAAGTGTCCATGGTAGAAAAAGTTATACAGATAAAGAAACAGAAACTTGACAGCCACAAATTACCTGCTAAGAAGAGAAAGCTTTATGATGGAGTAAAGAAACATGGAGCAGATAATGCTGGGAAAAAAGCTTTACAAGAGGCAGGAAAGAAAAAGAAACCTGAGAAAAAGATAAGCAAGAAGCAAAAGATGCAAGAGAGAGAACTTGAAATCAATGGTAAAAAATCATATTAACATGCTGATTCTGCATGTGGCCTATGCCACAAGAATTCTTGAGCTGACTAATACTACTGCATGCATAATGCATCTGTGTGTGCTGAAAAAATAATGAACTGAGACTCCACTACTTTGTACTTTCAATCTTAACCCATATCCTGCTGAAAATGTGAAATGAGCTGTGTCACGACAAAACCAACATAATGGGTTTGCGACCAACATGGATCCAGACCAGCCTGGGCATCCACGCAGTCTGATCAGGATCCATGCTGTTCGCTTACAGACCGTATAACAAGTAGAGAAACTGATAACGAACAGCATGGATTCTGATCAGACTGCGCAGATTGTGCAGGCTGGTCTGGATCCATGCTGGTCGCAAACCCATTGTGTTGGTTTTTGTCGTGACACGGCTCAAATGGTTTTGGCTTGCTTTGATTTTAAAAACAGTCCATACAGGCCGTTTGAAGCTGTGTGACTAACTTTATGGTAGAAATTAAAGTTTGTTTGATTTAAAACCAATTTTGATACATTTTTCTTTGGGGGGGGGGGGGTGGGGGGCACCTAACCAGCTTTTGTTGATAACTAACCAGTTTCTCTGCTGATGACCAACTATCACTCCCACATGATTTCTGAATCATTGGTGAGAGACAAATGATCATTACACACAAAGTCAGAGATAAATTGTCACCGAGCAATTTCGCTAAGCTCGAGGACTGAGCCAGTGACGTCTGAATTAAAATAATCCTTCCTGTGGAGATAGGTGGGCAGATTTCAGATGCAAATTTTAGAGTGAAAAGATTCATTTTAAAAAATGATTGGGTAATACCATTTCATGAAACAGTATTTTAAGTATAATGGTCATTCTGTATTTTTTAAACTATTCTAAATTAAAATATGTAAGGCCCAGTGTAAACAGTTAATGAATTTTATGATACTTAGCACACTATTATCAAAGCTGAATGACTATATTATTAATAATGCATATCTAAATATACAAAGCTTGTAAAATAAAATTGATTGGGATATTATACCAAAAAAGTAGAATTTTACAATTTATTGTGAATTTTGATAAAGGCTAAAAGCCAACTTTTGCAGTAGCATTACAAAACATTTGAAAATATAAGAGATAATTATAATGAATCAATAGTAATTAATAATATAGTAAGATCATACATCAAATAGAGTTTTTTTTTTCTGGAATAACCAGGCACATGGGTTCAGTGTTGTAACAGTACCTGTATGAAGTGGAGATACTTGTCAGATGTCAGTGACCCAACAATCGTTCCTGAAAGATGGACCTGTAGTATGAACACTAGTAAGTTCTCAAATCTTCATGCCTCTAGATGAGTAAACAAAATTTTGAGAAAAATCAGTTTTAAAAACATGTATGTCAATAGTTAAAGTAAACCTTTTCATGGCATATATTTCTAACATGTTACTTATAACTCTCTTCTAGCATACACATTGAATAGTAAATGTCTTCAGTTACAGTTTGACATATTTTAAATTTGTACACTTGACTAAATGTTTACTTATCCTCTACCTGCTTATTTGCCCTTCTTTGAGTTTGAAGCCTCTATTCAAAGTTCAAGGGATTTCAGTATCAACATACAAAAGTCAATAGTATCAGGTCACAGGCTGGCCTAGCTCTATAGTTAGATATTTTATGATAACTTTCAGTTTCAGCAGGTTAAAACATTTAAAAGGCTGTACAGTTTTCATTTAAACAGGGGAACGTTGTGCCCAACTATCATATGGAAAAATACAAAAGTAAACCAGTTTCTGCTATTTTTTGTCAAATTCTGTTGTGATATTTGCAATTTTTGCTTTGCCCTTTTTTTGTGCCCCCACTATGGGGGGGGGGGGATTTAGATATACCCTTGTCCGTCTGTCCTGTCCGTCCGTTCCCTTTTTGTGTCGCATGTAGCTCAAAAAGTTTTTGACCTATAGTCTTGAAACGTTACAAGAATGTTGCTCAGCATGTGAAGTTGTGCACCTGGGTATTTTCATGTAGATATATTTAGTATTTTTAGAGTTATTGCCCTTGACTTAGTAAAAATTTACAATTTTCAACTTGTGTTGAACGTAACTCAAAAAATATTTGACCTAGAGTCATGAAACCTTACAGGAAGGTTGATCAGCATGTGTAGTTGTGCACCTGGGTATTTTTGTGTGGATATTTTAAGAGTTATTACCCTTGACTTAGTAAAAGTTTACATTTTTTACTTGTGTTGCATGTAACTCAAAAAGTTTATGACCTGTAGGCTTGAAAGTTTAAAAGAATGTTGGTCAGCATGTGTACTTATGCACCTTGGGGCTTCTTGTGGATTTATTCAGTATTTGTAGTATTTGCCCTTTACTTAATAAAAGATTTTAGTTTTCAACTTGGGCACATGTAGCCAAAAAAATAATTTGACCTAGAGACATAAGATTGACAAATGGGCGTTATGTTATGAGTTTTTATGGCCCCATTCTTTAAGTTATGGTTTTCATGAATGAGATATAGAGGATATTTGTTTGTTTGTGTGTAAGATGAAATTTTATTTCATCAAGTGGGCTTTAAAAACAGTATTCTCACGAGTGGCGTAGCCAAGAGTGAGAATACTGTTTTTAAAGTTCACGAGATGAAATAAAATTACATCTTACACAACAAACAAACAAATTGTCTTTTTATTTTATGCTAAAAAACAAGTTATAACGAAATTTCCATAATATTAACGTAAATATTAAAATCTGTTTTCCCCATTGAGAGCCCCATTTAGTCAGAATTTCTCATTAAAAACAAGAAGTCTTGAGCTGAAAAATAAGTCCGACAATCAACGTTAAATGAAAGTGATATTATTTATTTTGTTAAAAAAATATGAATGATCGCTTGTTTTAATATAAAAAACAAACAATTCTTGTAGAATAAAAATTCCAACCATCCATCCATATTTCTGTTACTTACTGCGTATTTATATTAGACCTTTTGTTAAATGTAAGCGGCAGCCATTTTTTAAAGTTGTGTATTTCACGGGAGGAAAATAATTGTGTTTGATTCAGAGGGATATCATTTGGATTTGTTAGTCATACACCTTTTTAAAAGAAAGAAAACATATTTGAGGATTTAAACTGACAAAAAATAAGTGTTGACAGATGTGAAAACATGAAAAAAGCAGCTATGAAAATGGAAAACTTGGAACTTGCTCAGAACGCTGGGTGGTTTACTTGTTCTACGAGCTGATAGCTGTAATTGCTTTTCAATTTTTTATAAAGCATACGACAGTTATTGCTCGTACTGGATACTTTAATGTGCCCAAATGTCATCAAGAGCAGTTTGCATGTGGAAGGAATGTATTTGTCAGACTGTAAAAATGAGACAAAAAATTTAGAGATGAAATTTGGTGATTGGAATTTGAATGAATAGAAGTAAGTTTTCTTCTTTTTATAACTTTTGACTAGGGATGGCAACGAATACTAAAATCAATACTCGAGTACTCGGTCATTTTTCCGATCGAGTACTCGGTTACTCGGATGATTTCCAATGATCTTTAAAGTTTCATCACACAATATCAACACCGTCTGCATGCTACTTTCGTTTTCTATTTTAATTAATAGAATTCGTAACTAGTAAAAGGACTGCAAGAAATACATATATAAATATAAACATAAGAAATGTCAATGACAGCATATATTATATACCTACAAATACAGGATGAACTTAAAGCGGAAATACGCTTCAACGATTACAAAATTCCGTAATATGTTAGTGACAAATACTGTACCATATATGGAAGTGCCGTACTAATTTTGACGTTGGTTCCGATCTTAGCTTTAAACGTAGCATTTGGAAACGGAAACCAAAATTATAAAAGGCGTGGCCGGTTTTGCAAAAATTACGTATTCATCCGTCGGTCATAAATCTATTTCTTAACAGCTACATTTCATTTTCTGAAATTTCGTATAGAAGTGTAGTATAATGAAAATCATTTATAATTCAAACGAAAAGTTTTCTTATGTTGTAGCCCATGCATTTTCTACTCGCAATGTTGGAAAATTGATATTTCGCTCGACCTTCGGTCTCGTGAGATATCAATAATTTTTCCACCGCTGCTCGTAGCAAAATACAAAGCTATAACATAATATTCTGTATATATTTACGTTTTTATAATTGACAAGTTTCGGCTACAAACTGTGTAATATTTAAAGGTGATTAAATATAATAAGAGGCCGAATGACGTAAACGACACAGGACTGTGTTTAATCCCATACGCGTGTCGAACTGCTGATCGCCTCGTTAAACTTACGATAACATTTTCACACGTCTGCAAGGATGTTTTGATTGCACTTAACAAGTATTTATACAGATACGTGTACATTTCCGAATTACTGAACTTATCTTTCTAAATCGCAAAAAGTAGAAATGAAATATTTTTTTCCGAGTAATCGAATATCAATTTTGTTAACCGATATTCGGACGTTCGATCGAGTACTCGGTTAACCGGTTACTCGTTGCCATCCCTACTTTTGACATTTAAGTTATTTATCAATTTCAGCTTTGCTTTTTCTTTAGACAGCCTGACATTGTCAGAATTGTCAGCAAAAATAAAATTGAGGTACCACATGGGAAAAATCTTTAAAAAGTAGTTTCGTCATTGAAAAGAGTGAAATTATATTTTGATAATTTTCACTGTGAAATTATCAAATATAATTTTCACGGATAAATCAGTAATCCACTGAAAAGCATAAAATAAAAAGTTCTTTTACTTTATTTTTATAAATAGATAAGAACTACAATAGTTGTGAAAAGGCTGAGGAGAATTATGATGAGAGTGAACATATCTACACAAAATTTGCTGAAGGTTCTGTGGTGTGGGCTAGAATGACTGGCTATCCATGGTAAGGTTTATTTAGAACTGTGAATAAATTAGGGTTTTTGTGCCCCTTGTGAGTGAGGGTTTGTCTGTATAATGGTTGAGGCATAAGAATGTTACGATCCACTGTTTGTCACTGTGCAATCATAAGAGGTGACTTAAAATAGGTTTGATTAACCGGAGTCTATGCAACTCTTAGTTCCAGCAGGTAAGAAGGTTTTGACCCCAAGTATTGCTTTGAAATTTGTAACACCTGAGGTTTAAGTCAAAATCATCTACCCTGTTTCGGCGCCATATGACCTATACGTTGTTGATGCAACAGAAAACCAAACAAACAAGGTATGCTCAAGTGCAACAATATCGTCAAACCTGTATTGCTATATATTGCTCATTTTTCGTATTTACATGTGTCAATTGTGATGAAAAACAACACAAAATTAAAGATTCTGTTAGAGATTCTGTCAAAAATTACCTTTACAAACAATTCATAACATTTTTGTTTATTAAATATATCCAAAAGGTCCATGTTTTACATCTGTACAGTTCTTGAAATACATGAGATATGTAAATGTTTATGATGTGATTATATATTTCGATCAAATATCAAAGAAAATATGGTGTGAGGGTTCCATACCACAGTATAATGTATGTGCCAACACTATTTTGAAATATTATAACCCTATACTTCGTAACTTGTAATTACTATATTGTTGCACTGCTTGAACAATTTGTAAATAGAGTATTTATGATTTTATTGTTTTCATGTAAGCTTATATATGTCATTCAGAGATGTGAACAACATGTTTGATTCACTGGTAAATCTTAAAGTTTATTCATTATTTAACCCCTACTGAGTATTTAAATTTAGGTTTTTACTGTTTTCATTCTTCATTCATTACTGTAATTTTAACATATTTACTGTAAATCAATTTGAGTTTCAAGTTCTAATAACTAGAATAACTTTGTTTTGTGTTGGCTTCCTGGGTTAATCAGGACTCAAAACTTGGTCAAGAGTTATTAAGTGATGCTATAGTCTTTGTGTTAAGTTCAGTAGGTAAAATATTGTTTATTAAAATATTGTTATTTAACGATTTTGGTTTTTGTTAGCTCACCTGTCACAAAGTGACAGAGTGAGCTTTTGTGATCGCTTTTCGTCCGGCGTCCGGCCGTCCGTAAACTTTTACTTTAAATGAGTCATCTCCTCATAAACCACTAAGCCAATTTCATCCAAACTTCACAGGAATGTTCCTTTGGTGGTCACCTTTAAAAATTGTTCAAAGAATTTAATTCCATGCAGAACTCTGGTTGCCATGGCAACCGAAAGAAAAAACTTTAAATATCTTCTTTTACAAAACCGTAAGAGCTAGAGCTTAGATATTTGGCACGAAACATCTTCTAGTGAGCGTCTACCAAGTTTGTTCAAATAAAAGCCCTGGGGTCAAAATTGGCCCCGCCCTGGGGGGTCATTGATTTTCCCTATATACATATAGTAAAAACTTAAAAAATCTTCTTTTAAAGAACCAAAAGAGCTACAGCTAAGATATTTAGCATGAAACATGTTCTAATGGGTGTCTACCAAGTTTGTTCAAATAAAAGCCCTGGGGTCAAAATTGGCCCCGCCCCGGGGGGTCATTGATTTTCCCTATATGCATATAGTAAAAACTTAAAAAATCTTCTTTTAAAGAACCCAAAGAGCTATGGCTAAGATATTTAGCATCAAACATGTTCTAATAGGTGTCTACCAAGTTTGTTCAAATAAAAGCCCTGGGGTCTAAATTGGCCCCGCCCTGGGGGGTCATTGATTTTCCCTATATGCATATAGTAAAAACTTAAAAAATCTTCTTTTAAAGAACCAAAAGAGTTAAAGCTAAGATATTTAGCATGAAACATGTTCTAATAAGTGTCTACCAAGTTTGTTCAAATAAAAGCCCTTGGGTCAAAATTGGCCCCGCCCCGGGGGGTCATTGATTTTCCCTATATACATATAGTAAAAACGTAAAAAATCTTCTTTTAAAAAACCATAAGAGCTAGAGCTTAGATATTTGGCATGAAACATCTTCTAGTGAGTGTCTACCAAGTTTGTTCAAATAAAAGCCCTGGGGTCAAAATTGGCCCCGCCCCGGGGGGTCATTGATTTTCCCAATATACATATAGTAAAAACTTAAAAAATCTTCTTTTAAAGAACCAAAAGAGCTACAGCTAAGATATTTAGCATGAAACATTTTCTAATGGGTGTCTACCAAGTTTGTTCAAATAAAAGCCCTGGGGTTAAAATTGGCCCCGCCCCGGGGGGTCATTGATTTTCCCTATATGCATATAGTAAAAACTTAAAAAATCTTCTTTTAAAGAACCAAAAGAGCTAGAGCTAAAGATTTTTAGCATGAAACATGTTCTAATAAGTGTCTACCAAGTCTGTTCAAATAAAAGCCCTGGGGTCAAAATTGGCCTCGCCCCGGGGGGTTATTGATTTTCCCTATATGCATATAGTAAAAACTTAAGAAATCTTCTTTTAAAGAACCAAAAGAGCTAGAGTTAAGATATTTAGCATGAAACATGTTCTAATGGGTGTCTACCAAGTTTGTTCAAATAAAAGCCCTGGGGTCAAAATTGGCCCCGCCCCGGGGGGTCATTGATTTTCCCTATATGCATATAGTAAAAACTTAAAAAATCTTCTTTTAAAGAACTCAAAGAGCTATGGCTAAGATATTGAGCATCAAACATGTTCTAATAGGTGTCTACCAAGTTTGTTCAAATAAAAGCCCTGGGGTCAAAATTGGCCCCACACCAGGGGGTCATTGATTTTCCCTATATGCATATAGTAAAAACTTAAAAAATTCTCTTTTAAAGAACCAAAAGAGTTAAAGGTAAGATATTTAGCATGAAACATGTTCTAATAAGTGTCTACCAAGTTTGTTCAAATAAAAGCCCTGAGGTCAAAATTGGCCCCGCCCCGGGGGATCATTGATTTTCCCTATATGCATTATAGTAAAAACTTAAAAAATATTCTTTTAAAGAACTCAAAGAGCTATGGCTAAGATATTTAGCATCAAACATGTTCTAATATGTGTCTACCAAGTTTGTTCAAATAAAGCCCTGTGGTCAAAATTGGCACAGCCCCGGGGGTCATTGATTTTCCTTATATGTGTAAAGCAAAAACTTAAAAAATCTTCTTTGAAAAAACCCAAATAGCTAGAGTTAAGATATTAAGCATGAAACATCTTTTAGTGAGTGTCTACAAAGTTTGTTCAAATAAAAGACCTGGGGTCAAAATTGGCCCCGCCCCGGGGTCATTGATTTTCTTTATATGTGTATAGCAAAAACTTAAAAATCTTCTTTGAAAAAACCCAAATAGCTAGAGTTTAGATATTAAGCATGAAACATGTTCTAATAAGTGTCTACCAAGTCTGTTCAAATAAAAGCCCTGGGGTCAAAATTGGCCTCGCCCCGGGGGGTCATTGATTTTCCCTATATGCATATAGTAAAAACTTAAGAAATCTTCTTTTAAAGAACCAAAAGAGCTAGAGCTAAGATATTTAGCATGAAACATGTTCTAATGGGTGTCTACCAAGTTTGTTCAAATAAAAGCCCTGGGGTCAAAATTGGCCCCGCCCTGGGGGGTCATTGATTTTCCCTATATGCATATAGTAAAAACTTAAAAAATCTTCTTTTAAAGAACTCAAAGAGCTAGGCTAAGATATTGAGCATCAAACATGTTCTAATAGGTGTCTACCAAGTTTGTTCAAATAAAAGCCCTGGGGTCAAAATTGGCCCCACACCAGGGGGTCATTGATTTTCCCTATATGCATCAGGGCTCAAATTTAACTTTTTTGGCCACTAGCAATTTTTTGCTAGTGGACAAATTTTTAACTAGCAAAAACTGAATTCAACTAGCACTTTTTACAACAATGATTTTTTAATTCCAAAATTGTTTAAACTTTTGTGTACATTCATTAATTGTTTGAATTATCATGTACCATAATAATTAATTCATTGTTGTTACAATTATGTATCATGATAATGAATTTTATTGAAAATGTTTTTATTAATAAATGTTGTAGTACAACACATAAATTTACAGTAGTTTGTTATAACTTGAGTTCATTCAATTGTTGTATCTCAATTGTCATGTTGGAACAACTCAAAATAAAGAATAAAACTATCTTATATTTTAACTCACTGAAATAAATGATTAAATTAACATGATTGATATGAAAGATTTTTTTTTATTTCTGCATAAAAAGCTGATTTAATCATGAAATTGGGCATGAAAAAAATTATAATACTTCATTTTTAAGTTTAATTATTTGATTTGCTGAAAGACAAAGTTGTTGCTGGATATAGAGAATAACAAAATTAAAATTGTAATTAATTTGGACGAGTTCGAACTGCCCGGGGTACGAATCAGCAACGTAACTTTCTACTCAAAAACTTGATTTAGGGGACAAGGATTCTTATCAAATGTCAATCTACCTGTAAAAAAATAATAATGCAATATTGTCGCCATACCGACAATGTCTAGTCTGGATTATGCGCACAACAATCGGTGCAAAATATTTTGGCAACATTTCCATCGTCATCGAGTTCGTACGTAAGACTGACGTGCAGTTCTTTCTCCCATTTTTTAACCGTTTTAACTGAAGGTCTGATTGTCTTTCTTTTGATAGACTGTGAACCATCTTCTGTACTCAGAGTATTGTTATCGGAAGACACATTTGCTTCAGTAAGTGGGAAGAAGTTCGTTATTTTTTGTTTTGACATTTTATTCCGATCACTCTTGATTTACACGGACAAAATGACATTTGGACTGGTTTAAATTTGTCTACGTTTTTAAGCGAGGTTAAGGTATAGAAAATGTAAACCAGACAGCAAGTGCGTGCATAGTTTATAACTCGGCTTCCTGCGAATATTACGCCCGATTTTCCTGACGAGCGTATTCCGTTTTTTCTTCAACTCGCAAAAAATTGCGAGTAGTCATAAATCTAACTCGCAAAATCATTTTTCAACTAGCATTTTGCTAGTTTGCGAGTGTTAAATTCGAGCCCTGTGCATATAGTAAAAACCTTAAAAAATCTTCTTTTAAAGAACCAAAAGAGTTAAAGCTAAGATATTTAGCATGAAACATGTTCTAATAAGTGTCTACCAAGTTTGTTCAAATAAAAGCCCTGAGGTCAAAATTGGCCCCGCCCCGGGGGATCATTGATTTTCCCTATATGCATTATAGTAAAAACTTAAAAAATATTCTTTTAAAGAACTCAAAGAGCTATGGCTAAGATATTCAGCATCAATCATGTTCTAATATGTGTCTACCAAGTTTGTTCAAATAAAGCCCTGTGGTCAAAATTGGCACCGCCCCGGGGGTCATTGATTTTCCTTATATGTGTATAGCAAAAACTTAAAAAATCTTCTTTGAAAAAAACCCAAATAGCTAGAGTTAAGATATTAAGCATGAAACATCTTTTAGTGAGTGTCTACAAAGTTTGTTCAAATAAAAGACCTGGGGTCAAAATTGGCCCGGCCCCGGGGGTCATTGATTTTCTTTATATGTGTATAGCAAAAACTTAAAAATCTTCTTTGAAAAAACCCAAATAGCTAGAGTTTAGATATTAAGCATGAAACATCTTCTAGTAAGTGTCTACAAAGTTTGTTCAAATAAAAGCCCTGGGGTCAAAACTGGTCCGGCCCCAGGGGTGTCATTGTTTTTAACTATATGTGTATAGTAAAAACTTAAAAAAAATCTTCTTTCAAAAAGCCCAATGAGCTAGAGCTTAGATGTTTAGCATGAAACATCTTCTTATGGGTGTCTACCGAGTTTGTGCAAATAAAAGCCCTTGGGTTAAATTGGCCCTGCAACGTTGGGGGGTGGGTGGGGGTTGGGGGGCCTATATACAGGTGAGCGACCTCAGGGCCATCATGGCTTTGTTGTATAACTAACTAATATTTAATACTTTGAGGAGGTGACTTCACTTTCTTGTACTATGTTACATGTTTCTATTGATTTATCAGGTGGCCTGCAATGGTAGAGATAGATCCAGATACAGAAACTTTCTTCAGTATAGACTCGGATGACTCTATGATCCCAGTAATCTTTGTTCATTGTGATTAGTATTAATGTTGATATAATATTTCTGTAACAAGTACAGTTTATTATCCATAGAAGAGCATTTCGACCATGTTGTGCATGAACTTAATCGTTTCTGTAGTGGGTCTTGAGTTTAAAGTTTAAACTTTTTATATTCATTTCTTTTTTTCTAGTGCAGTATGTACAATTTATTTTGACTTAGCTGCCGATAAATAATCTCCCCACTGAAAAAAAAACCCATGTTTTTTTTATCCATTATATTTTTCATTCAAGTTATAATTTAGAAAAAAAAATATTACAATAAAAAAATGTTAGAGTTGGCTGATTTATTTATTTTCTAGCATGGTAACAATTGATTAAGTTTGATTATTTTTTTCAGACCCATTATCATGTTGTTTTCTTTGATGAGCATGTATCAAGAACATGGGTGAAAGCAGACTATCTGAAAATGTTCACAGGCAATGAAGATGATGATGGTATAGTCTATCAGGTAGGACATATTTTCAGCCGTTAAATAAATTATTACCAATTGATTTCTTATATGTAAATGTTAATTTTTTGAATCTATGTGACCTCCATTAACCATTACCATGATGAAATTATGTTATTAACTTTTCATGAGTTCTGAATTATTCAAATGTAAGTTTGAGAGAAATCAGTTTCAAACGAATAAAATTCAGAAGTCAATATTGTAGGATCTGACAAGGCTACTTCATTGTAACTCGCAGCCTCATGCAGCATCCAGAATGTAACATTATAAATGCGGCCCGGCAGAATATCAGATATCTGTGGAAGACATTGTGATAAGCTTTTAATATTACAGCAGTCACTGAAAAAAATTGTTTGTATAACTCGTCATTAGTACAGAATTAATATAAATGATTATTATTTGAGTTTTTATGAAGATTGTATTTACCGGTAAGAAGTGTGTTGGACTTCAAAAATAATATAAAAATGTTTTCCCCAAGTGATAATGCAATGCATGTTTCAGGTTAGTGTGATGACATGTTTTCTAGATTTCAATCCACAAAAAAATCTTACTAAAGGACCATGTAAATATCTGGGAAAAAATACAATGTTACTGGTAAGTCTTTAATTTCAGATATCAAAAAAGGGACAGTCCTACAAGAAGGAAATAGGTGTTGCAAAGAAAAATGCCATGAGAGCTAGAAGCTGCACAGTTCAGGTGACTAAGTATTTTATTAAATTTAACTTGATTCACATGAATTATCCAAGTAAATTCATCACTTTAAAGTTAAATTGTAGTGTTCAAAATAAATCTGAAATCAAAATTGACCCGAGGGCAATTAATTACTTGGCCATTAATTTGAACATACCTCCCCTTGTGAAGGTCCACAAAACTTTGTTTACCAAAGATTTTAGCATGATCAGCGTAAAGATACCATATCAGCAAAAAGACATGTTTGGTTTTTCACTTGCCCTGCATGTGTTTTTATACCCCCGCACAACAAAGTTGTAATGGGGGTATACTGGAATCAGCTTGTCCGTCCGTCCGGCTGTCCGTCCGTCGGTTTTTTCTTGTCCGCCCAATAACTTAAGATTCCTTTGACCCTTAGTCTTCATATTTGGCATGGAGGTTAGTCATGATTAGTAGATGACCCCTATTGATTTTGAGGTCACTAGGTCAAGGTCACAGAGGCCTCGACTTCAAAAAGCTTGTCCGCCTAATAACTTAAGGTTCCTTTGACCCTTAGTCTTCATATTTGGCATGGAGGTTAGTCATGATTAGTAGATGACCCCTATTGATTTTGAGGTCACTAGGTCAAAGGTCAAGGTCACACGGGCCTTGACTTCAAAAAGCTTGTCCGCCCAATAACTTAAGATTCCTTTGACCTACAGTCTTCATATTTGGCATGGAGGTTTGGCATAATTAGTAGATGACCCCTATTGATTTTGAGGTCACCAGGTTAAAGGTCAAGGTCACAGGGGCCTTGACTTCAAAAAGCTTGTCCGCCCAATAACTTAAGATTCCTTTGACCCTTAGTCTTCATATTTGGCATGGAGGTAAGTCATGATTAGTAGATGACCCCTATTGATTTTGAGGTCACCAGGTCAAAGGTCAAGGTCACAGGGGCCTTCACTTCAAAAAGCTTGTCCGCCCAATAACTTAAGATTCCTTTGACCTACAATCTTCATATTTGGAATGGAGGTTTGGCATAATTAGTAGATGACCCCTATTGATTTTGAGGTCACCAGGTTAAAGGTCAAGGTCACAGGGGCCTTGACTTCAAAAAGTTTGTCTGCCCAATAACTTTAGATTCCTTTGACCCACAGTCTTCATATTTGGCATGGATGTTGATCATGATTAGTAGATGACCCCTTTTGATTTTGAGGTCACTGGATCAAAGGTCAAGGTCATAGGGACTTTCACTTCAAAAAGTTTGTCCACCCATTAACTTAAGATTCCTTTGACCCACAGTCTTCATATTTGGCATGGATGTTGATCATGACTATAAGGTGACCCCTATTGATTTTGAGGTCACTGGGTCAAAGGCCAAGGTCACAGGGACCTTGACATAAAAAAAGCTTTTCTTCTCAATTGCTAAAGAATGTCCTGTCCGCAATGTATTGATTTTGACATTTTCACATTTGAAGCATGTAGAATACATAACTTAGCAATGCACTGGCTTAGTAACCTCAGATTTGGCAGGGAGGTTGTCCTTGAGCTCTAAATGGCCACTGTTGATTCTGACAAAGTGGTATGCGGGGGTATTCACGCCATGATAGTGGCAGTTCTAGTTACACTAGCCATGGCAATTAGGCAGGCATTTATTAACACTGAAATCATAAGTTTTATGTAAATTTAATCTTGGTTGAAAATTTTAAAAGTTTAGAGCTGATTTGAACCACTCACTCAGACAAGTAACCTTAGTATATCTGAATGTATTGGTTTAAACCCAGTCAGGGGCAAGCTGTTGTTTCCTTGAGCAAGAATCTTTACACTAACTGCTCAGTACTGATTGGTTTCAGGTTTGGATTTGTAGGTGTTTCTATAAGCATATAGATCTATAGCTCCCACACAATAACACCAAAATAAATTCACTATAAACTATAAACACTTTGGTCTACTTCCTGGAACTATCCAATATTGATGCAAAATAAGAAAAAAATAAGACCCAGTAGAATCAATGACTTAACTTAAATTCCTATAGTACCTGTTTCTTATTGAAAGGTCATCAATAAGGTCTCACAATATATGAGCCGCGTCATGACAAAATACAACATAATGGGTTTGCAACCATCATGGATCCAGACCAGCCTGTGCATCCGCGCAGTCTGATCAGGATCCATGCTGTTCGCTTACAAACTATAACAAGTAGAGAAACTGATAGAGAACAGCATGGATCCATGTTGGTCGCAAACCCATTATGTTGGTTTTGTCACGACGCGGCTCATATATACAAAGATTATGCTTTTTGGTTTGTCATTTCTAGGAGAGAATTGAACTGTTTGGATTTGCCTCAAGGTACAAAGGTCCATGGAGCTCAAAATCAAAAGGTATTTCTTCTTAGTCTTTGATTTGTTATTGTCAGAATTTACTATTTTATTCTCTAATGAAAAACAAACATGCCTTAAAGTAAAGAAAGAGCATACATCCTGGAAAAGATTATATAAAGAAAGCCCTTTTTGACAATGAATCTCATTACTGTTGAAATAAAGTAATTCAATGTACCAAAGCTTAGAACTTAGAACATAATTATATGTAATGCTTAAATTGAAACTTTAAGATTAAAGTTTCTAAATATTTTACTAATTTTAGGCAACAAAGTTGAAAAGCGCAAGAGTTCAAAGACGGTATCTGGACAAGAATCCAAAGTTGAACAGGTAAATTTTCTCGACGAGGATACAATGGACGATGTTCTAGAGCATACAGACGCACTGCTGGACAATGTCGAAGAAATGCTTGAATCAATAAACAGTCAGTTGGATGACTCTGATGCCGGTATTTTTTAGGAAGTAGATATCAATTTTGGGTGTAATGTCATTTGATAAATCACTGATTTGTTGAGGGTCAGATGTGAAGTTATATAATTAAAAGTTTAATTGGGTTTGGGGTGGGGGAGAGAAGGGAGGTGGATGAGGCTTCCAGAATGTGTCTATGAAAGTGGAGAATAGTGTTGCAATAGTTAGAGGTGTGCATAATAATATAATATCTAGGGGGAATCCCTTAAATAATGTTCTAACTTTTGACCCAACCCATAATACATTTTTTGTGAACTGAAATATTAAATTATATGTGTACATTGAAAATTATTAACTTGATCAGAAACGACCTGATCAGATATAGTGGTGTACTTTATCAAATGATGATACACATTAAATTAAATCTGTTTCCATTTTTGCTTGCCATATGAAAATAAAGTAAGATACTGACCTACAAATCACTTGTGGTGATCATTTTATGTCATGTCTAAATCCTAATTTGGTAAAGGATAAATAATAATTTTTTAACTATGTTGTTTTTTTTCTTTTAATCTGAAGAAATTTAAACATTATCTATACAACTTAAATGCTTCTTTTTTTTTAAAGTCTTTGATGAAATACAATACAAAGTGATCTTTGTTTGAGTAATATTTATGCTTATTCTTTCATTGTCAATATGAAGTGAATTAGCTATATATTTCAAAAGATTGCCTAATTTAATGATGATTAACTTAAAATTGATAACCACAAATGTTTAAGATAAAATATAAAACCAGCCTTAAATATAAAAAGGTTACTCCTAAATTCTTTTTATCAGCAGAGTATTACCAATACATTCTGACGGATATTCATACAAATTTCCATGTGCCATGTTGGTTATTGATTATTCAATAAAAGTATAACAAAAAATGAAAATAAATATGGCAAAATGTAACCTTGTTTTGACTCACTTTTAACCTCACCATTTACATTTGGATGGGCATAATGGAGGATTTTTTTTTACTTTCAGATTCTGACTTTATGCCTGAAGAATTAATTGTTGTGGAAACAAAGAAGAAAAGAGGTACTGTAATATTAAATGATTTTTAGGCACTAAATAGTTTTTGTTTTCAAAAATCAGGGACACAGCTTTTTATCATGGATTAAGTTATGCCAATAATTTCTAAAAGATTCTTTGCAAAAGTAACTAAGATCATTCCTGATAATTTTCTTCAATTTTCTTTTTATCAAACTTAAACATAAATAATGTTTCTACAGTTTAAAAGCTATTTTTGTTGGCAACAAGTTTAAAGTATTTGCTTTTCTTAGCCACAATGTTTAATTTTCACTCTTCTTCACTGGATACTTCTATGATAATCTTAGCTCCATGACCCATAATGATGCCCTTATCCATTCAATTTTGAAGCTAAATGTTAAATTGAACAAGTTTACAATGAAAGAATGGGAAGTTCTAGAAATATAATTGATAAAGAGTAATGGAAAATAAAATAATGTAAAAAACCAGAATGCTGATTTTGTACCATGGTTCAATTATGTTTATCTGCATATTTCATTATACCATTTAATCATGATACCTTTTGCTTCTAATTGAATATGAGCACCACTAGGAATATCAAAATGGGTTTGCAAAATATCATTGGTGATAAAACTGCCTCAAAATGTAATTTGTGTAGAAATGTGTATTTGAAATGAATTAAAATAAAACATTCAGTTACTATTTGTGCAATAATGTTGTTTTTATTTTTTATAAAGATCTTTAATGAATAATGAAGCTCTACTAAGGCAACCAAACATTTTTATGCTTTGTTTATTTTCAGGCAAAAAATCAACAGTCAGTAGTGAGAAGTCTTCCAAGAAAAAGGTGAATTTTATGGAAGCAGATATAGAGGCTGACATGGGAACTGATACAAATGGTATAGAATGTGATAAAGATGTCAGTAAAACAGAAAGAAACTCTGAAATCAAGGCAGATAAAAGTGAAACTTTATCAAAAACTGTTGATATAAGTTTAAAACTTGACAGTGATATTTTTACAATGGAAATGTATACCCAAAATGATGATATCACAAAGACTGTTGGAGATAAAGTAGAAGAAATAACCAATGAGACAAAAGATAACAAGACTAATGAAAGAGTTCAAGAGTCAGTTCCAAAGGTTAAGGGGAAATCCACAAAGAGGAAGAAAGCAGAAAACTCAGATTGTAATCAAGAGAGAATGAAAGCAAAGAAGCAGAAAGAGAATAAAAGTGAATTGGTTGCACTACTTACAGAGACCGACAGTGAAGAGAAATTAAAAAACGGGAATAACTCTTCTAAACAAAATGAGAATTTAGAAGAAGTAACTGATACAGAAAAAACTAAACTATCTAATGACAGTACAGAAAAGAACTTGAGTAACAAAAGTGATAAAATTGAGCAGGATAAAACAGAACTTGGTACAGGTCCTGATGATATCAAAAGTAATACTGACTCATATGTCAAGAATGAAGTAACAGAAAAAGTTTATCAGAAAGAACAAAATTCCAATCCTGAAGAAAACATGATCGTAAGAAATGGTGGAAAAACACAGGGTAATACAGTTGATAGGTCACCAATCATTAGAGAACCTGGTAATGAGAAAGAGGTACAGAACATTGTTGGACTAGATGATGAAATTGATCTCAATGACATTGAAAGTGATGCTGTGCCTGATATGGACAGAGAAGAAATAAATGCTGGCAGTACTAGAAGTACAGAACAAAATTTAGATAATGAGTCAGATAGTGAGTTTGATCTAGAGGAGCATTATATGTATGACACAGTAACAGACGGCTCTGATAAAGTGAGGGAAAGAGCTGTTGTGAATGTTCCAGCACATGTGGCAGAAGTTGATGAGGACAGTGACCCCTTTGATCTTATGGAAGAATAAAGTTATGATTGTTTAAATTGCTCAAACATTATTAATCATTTCCAAATGAAAGAACAGAAACAACTAGAATTTAAAATAAGAAAAAAAATCATAATTGGTCAATAGCTCTAGAATGAAATTGATACTTATTGTTGATATATGTTATCTATTTTATATAATCAGTTAATTGCTCCCTTTGTAGAGTCCCTAGTATGGTTAAAAAATTCTTAACTACAAGTTTGTACATGTACACATTCATTTTAAGGAATAACTACTAGTGCAATTTGGGAATGATCCACACTTTATAGGAATGCTCAATACCTGTCTAGCTATGTGTATCATTGGCAATTTCCAATTCAATGACTTTTTTGTCAATTTGCCCTTGAGCATATGGCCTCTTTTGCCTATTGGCCTCTTAATGATTTTCGGTTGACTTCTACAAAGTAGATGCAACATGTTAAAAAGTATCCATAACACATAGGGAACAATCTTAATACAACTGCTTAATTGGCTAGATCATCATGCAAAACATGTCATCACTGATCACTCTTGTACTGTGATAGCTTTTAATGCTGTTGTTGTTTTTGTGGGTGTTTTTTGTGTGATTATTGTTGCCATGTTTATTTGTTTCAATTGTGATAAAAGTTTTTATTCAGGATTGACTATTTGTTATCTGATAATTTTACATCGTGTGTTTATTTCAATAATATATAACTGTTAATTTTACTACATTTGTGTATTTTGCTTGTTACATGTTTAAAAAGAATGCTATGTAAAGTTACTTTAATGATAAAATGTTTTGGTTCAATTTTGCATTATATATTAATTATTTTGGTTATTGTATTTGTAAATACCTGTAACTTTGTTTGTAAATACCTGTGTTTTAAAATGGTTGTGATATTGGACCTTGGTCATTATCGTCAGTTATTTTGGAGTATTGGACCATTTCTCAAAATGGAGCCTAATGTCATAAAACAACTCATGATTTGCTTATGTATCAGATCTTAAGACATAAAATTGTAGCTCAGTTGTGGCTTTCTGAACATATAAAAATGAAAACAAAATATATTATGTATTATATAATGTATGAGTTTTTTTATATTGAAAACTACCTTAAAGATACACTATGCTCAAATTTGATATTAGAAAATATTGATAATTGCTACACAGTAGCTTTGTAAATATAAAATAAACACGTATTGACTTCACACAAAGTAGATATGTTGTGCTTAAAACTCTACATATTACTATATCTTTAATTATTTTTGTAGTCTGATATAAACATTATTCAATTGATTGACCTGAGCCTTTTTAATGTGTACTGAATTGTATGATGATCTACGAAGGTCTAGTTAACTTTTGATTCACATATATTTATAATTAATGTTTAATGTATTTACTGTATACACTACCATTCATCAAAGTCTGTGATAAAGTTACACGATATATTTATACTTGTTACTGTTTTTGAAATCTAGTCAAATGTTGCTTTGCTGCTGTTGTTTTTTTTATATTATTTTTAGCTGTAAGTTTGTTTTAACTGATTAAATAGGTTGTTATATGTATTACGATTAAAAGTTTAGCATTAATAAATAACGTGAAGTTTCGTTATGTTATTCTTTATATACCTTATTGAAGACTGGGAACCTGAAATGCATGTCACGTGACATCGAGTGAGTTTGATAGCTATGAATGGTGAACTATAGCTTAGTTAAATTTAGTAAAAATACATTTTATTCCCTTTTTTTTACAAGATATACTGTACAATGCCAATATATATAGCAAAAAATATAAAGATACATTTTTGAAAGAAAAGGGTTGGACCACAAGTTCATATGACTTTAACTGATTTTCTTGGTTGCTCAACGTTAAAGGTTGTTTAGAAAACATGAAAATATTAGAAATAATTATAATTTTTGAAACATGTCATTTGAGGGAAGAGAACTTATAAGAATTTTTTTAAACTTGGCACTTTTTGTTTATTTCCTTCTCTATGCTACATACTGGGCCATTTTGTCTAAGAGAATAAACTGATCATATCTTTAACTGAAAGTGCACAAGAGTTGTTTCCCTTCTACTTAGTGTCAACAGCAAAGTTATTCTACTTATTAAAATTCAACCATCCACCAAGACAGAGATTGTGGTCATGTTTAATTTCAGAAGATAAATGGTAAATAATCAAATAAAGTTGCTTATGGAGGGCAAATTATTGTCACTTGTGTGACCTAGAATGGTTTATTATAATTATGAAGAAAAACGGATATTGAAAGTGCAAAAATCAGTGATCATTTTGAATAATTTTTCCTGTAAATTTTAACTTCGTTGACAAAGGTCATCAATACTGGAAGCAGACTTGAATGCGAAGGTTTCATTTAAAAAATCATCATGATAGTTTTGTCTATTTATGGCTTAAATACATAATATACCTGAGTTTGTTTCTAATACATCTAATGGCGCAAGACGATAATGGTTGATGTTACTGTAGAGATTAAAATAAATGATGTTACCGTAGAGAGTAAAATAAATGATGTTACTGTGTTACTGTAGAGATTAGAGTAAATGATGTTACTGTAGAGATTAAAGTAAATGCATGGTGCATACAACATTATCATTATATCCGATTTAACCCAATTCACTGTAGCCGGACTATAATTATATATATCTGAATGCGGGTGAAAATAAAATCAAAACTACATGGAATAACAGGCAGAAATAAATGCCGTCATGCGTAAATTTTGCTTCTTTAAGAAAAGGAAGTCGATGTCCTCATACATCATGTTAAAAATGTAGCACAATTAAAGAAATTTAACAGACGTTTAAAAATTGATGATGTGACGCCATGATGTGATGACGTCACAGAGGAGAATGCGCGACGTTACGCGGCAAAATCAGTAAAAAATACTTTAAATCAGTTAAAAAAGCACGAAATAAAAAGAAAATTTATTTGTTTTACATATAAGATTAAAATATATTTCATTCGTGAACACCAGCTATTATATTTTCACTCGTTGCTACGCCACTCGTGAAAATATTGAATCTGGTGTTCACTCAGTGAAATTATATTTCAATCTTACATGCAAAACAAACAAATATCCTCTATATAATCCTCTGATATATTACAATAAAACACTGGAAAGCATGAAATAAAAGGATATATTAATGAATGATATGCTTAGGTGGCAGCAAGTCACTGAGGGAAGAGGATCTTACAGGACCATATATACCAGATTTGTTCTGTTTTCGTAAGGAAAGTGACCTTGCGACCACATACACGCATCACAGCATTCCCCTTCTCTTACGAGAAAAGGACAAAGAGTTGTCCGTCCTTTTATTAAAGAGCAGAGTTTAAAAGGAAGCCATTTTCAAGAAAGCTAGTTTTCACATATATGTCTCGAATTGGTTTATATACAACAATAGTAACGCAAATCAAACGGGGTATCAATTAACGTCCTTTTAAGTTCGCTTTTTTGTTAACAGTAGTCATATTTACAAATCTAAACTCATTCAAATTTGGAACAAATTCTATTATCATACAGTTTTCAGTCTGTCTTTATGTCTATGTAACTGTAGCATATGTCTTTAAACTTTCATTTGTTATATTTTCTCAAGATGGCAAAGTTATCATTTATCAATGCAAAATGCATCGAAGAAATACCATGACAATACAGCTATAGCTTATTACAGTTTTTTTCTCAGAGCAAATGAAGTTTAAACTTAAAGAATTCAAGCAATTCATTGTATGTTTTCCTCATTCCAGTGGAACGAAGTCTTCTACAAAGGAAAAAGGTTTTATTGATTGTTAAAAAAAAGTGAAATATTTTACAATATGGCCAAAGGCCGGTTACACATGGCTACTACTCTAAATAAATAAGTATTGAGTGATCTCCCTTGTATTTCGATAAGTACTGTCAATAACTTAAAAAAAATGATTTATTTCATAGCTATTTCCAAGAAGGTGATTATTTCGTCTTATTATATATGATCACGTGACCTTAAATGATGTCACAATATTTATGAACACGTGACCTAAAATGGTTTACTTTTCGGATAAATGTGTGAAATTCCGGAAGAATATTATGTAAACAGAGTTTATGTCATGAATCAATATTATCTTAACTTTCCGTGAGTGATTAGCAGTAAATTCCACATCCTTTCAAAGATAGAAGCATTATAGATCTACACTCCAAATATCTTAACCTTGAATGATATCCTTCACATGCAGTGGCAATTCCTTATCGACATAAGGAATTTAAATTACTTAAATTACAAGAAGATAAACATTGCAAATGATTCTTGCCAAATTTATCGTGTCTTTCAATTTGCAGGTTGAAGAGACGATGACACGAAGACACGATAAATTTACAGAAAGTCTTATGTCTTCGCCTATTAAAAATATCGTTATTTTTCGCCTAACAAGTATCGTGTCTTCGTGTCAGCAGCCTCAAAAGTCGAAAGCGAAGACGTGATAAGTGAGCATATTATCGTGTATTCGCCTTCTAGTTTTGAGTGGCGAAAGCACGAAGACAAGAACATGAAGAAAATGCCGAAATCAGCCACCATAACTAACTCTCTGAGACCTTTATTAGAAAGGATTTTCGTATATTCACTGCATCGCAACCATCATTTCAGTAATATTATCGAAAACCTCAGACTTTACAATGTCGAATTATTAAACAGAACACTCTTAGGTTTTCAGAGACCAATTAAAGTCAGCCCGCAAAAATTTTAAATGACCGAAACAGGAGTTTGTTTTCAACAACATTTCTGTTAAAATCTTCGTAGAGCTTTAATGTATAAAGAGGATTGTACCCGTTCAGACTTTCCCTACATTTCCGACAGCTGAGTCATCCTGATTTTTTTGGCGATTCAAATGTCTCCTGGCTACGGAATTCCATAAACGACAGCCTACTGTTTACTGTCAACTGCCTACTGTCAACTGCTTACTGTCAACTGCCTACTGTCAACTGCCTACTGTCAACTGCTTAATGCTACTGTAAATTGACAAAAGCTAAATGTCACACCTACCAAATACCCGATTAATTGCCTGAAAGTAAATCTCGGCTTTGTACGTCCTTCTTCCAATGCGTTTGTAATTACAAAGGGGGGCCTTTTGAAACAGTATTGGTCAAGAAATTATACTGTATCATAGATGAAGGCTTTGACTGATAAAACCTTGGAACTCGTTACATTTAAAAACATGTATTATTCTCGTGTTACTAAGCAGAAAGATAGGTATTTATCTTTGCAGGCATTTGGAAACTTTTTCAAATCATGGAATTTATACCTTTGTCTATGCTAAGACTATCATATTTCTATAAAATGTGTAAATAAAAAACGGGAAAATGATGCAATTAGCTAAAAACTATGGAAATAATGAAAGGTGTACATTCTTTTAAAATAAATGAAAATTTTGAGAAAAAAAAGTTTTTTGCTTAATAATTGATACAAAATCTTTATTTGGTGACTAATCAAGACCATTTAAATCCCTATTGATTCAACTATAATTCAGGGTACATGTTTTGCGTCTATTTGATACCTTGAATTTTGTTTACCATATGCTTTGACAACAATATATTATTTTAAACATAATGAACATTAATTTTCTCTGACCCCAAAGTGCGGTCATTTGCCTGATGTTAAAAAATGCATATGAACCCGTTTAACGCACTTTAGGGTCGACATTGGACCCCACTCTGGGGTCGGACCACAAAGTACGTAACGCACTTTGGGGTCGGACCCCAAAGTGCGTTTGACCCCAAAGTGCGGTGTTACATTGCTATATGGCTCGGACTTTGCTTATAACCGTTTTCTTCTCAAAGCAACTGAACTTTAAACTTACAGAATTCAAGCAATTCATTGAATGTTTTCCTCACTCCGGTGGTACGAAATCTTCTACAAAGGAATAAATTTTTATTGATGGTTAAGAAAAAAGTGAAATATTTTACAATATGGTCAAAGGCAGGTTACACATGGCTGTACTCAAAATTGTCAGTATTGAGTGATCTCCCTTGTATATCATTACTGTCTCGTATGTTCATCATCAATAACTTTTAATAAGAATGATTTATTCCTGAGCTATTTCCATGAAAGTGATTATTTCGTCTTAATATATATGATCACGTGACCTTAAATGATTGTACCGTCACAATATTTATGAACTCGTGACCTTACATGGTTTAGTACTCGGATATATGTTTGCTATTATTTAGTAATACTGTTTTTTACAGTTTATGTCATTAATCAATATTATCTTAATTTCCAGTGAGTGATAAACAGTAAATTTTACATCCTTTTAAAGATTGAAGCATTACCTACACTCCAAATATCTTAACTGTAAATGATATCTTTCACATTCCGTGCCAATTCCTTATCAACTCAACCTAAATAACAGCAGGATAAACATTGCTAATGATGCTTGGAAAATCTATCGTGTCTTTCAATTGCGGGTTGAAATTTAAGAGACGATGCAACGAAGACTCGATAAATATACGGAATACCGTTAGGGCCATCGTGGTTATACGTTAAAATACAAAGGGCGATAGTGCGATGAAGACAACAAGACAGTGCGTTGGCGACAATGCGATAACGCGATAGTATGATGACGACAGGGCGATAGTGTTATCGCAATGTCGCATGGTCGTCATTGCACTATCGTATTGTCGTCATTACACTGTTACACTATAGCATTGTCGTACTGTCGTCATCGCATTATCACACTGCCGCCATCGCACTATCGCATTGTCGTCATTGCACTGTCGTATGTCGTCATCGCACTGTAGCATTTTCGCCTCTGGATTATAAAGTATAACCACGATGGTCTTAACTGTATTCCCTAGTTATATGCAAACAAAATCGACTATGCTGATGTAAAGAATTAATAAAAATATGATTATGATACGCTGTTGAAATATAAATAATAATCATCAACAAACACGTTATACATATACAAGATAACTTTTTCGTAAATATTGTTAATATAAGTATACAATTCGACAGATCATAATGTACATTGTAGTTGTAAAATATAGCACAGATTATCCTCGAAATACGTTTAATCGAATACATGAAGATTGTTTTCAAATCACTACCATAAATGATCGATTGATTGATTGATATTTTGGGTTTTAATTCATCATGTAAATACTATAAAAATAAATCGCAATTTCGAACAACAGACAAATCAATTCAATATATAAAATAGATTAAGTAGACATATAAAATTATTCATCAATTTAACATACTAGTACGTGTGTTTCACACGGAAAAAAAAATAACTAAATCTTTACAAACTTGTAGAAATTGTAGATATGAATGAACGAACACGCAATGCACGAATCTCGCGTTTTCATTTTCATTATTATTATTATTATTATGATTATTATTATTATATTATTATTATCATCATCATCATCATCATCATCATCATCATCATAATTCCTTCACTTTTTGTTTTGGATCTTTATATATTATGTCCCGGCTTTTTTTTAACAAAAATTATATTACTGCTATGTAGCAATGCTATGTTGCTATGTGACATAACATTAAATAATAATAAACCATGTAAAATTATTGCTTCACTTTAAGTTATCGGTATTTTTTCGAGTACTGTCATGAAAATATTTTTTTTTTAATCGCTTCTAAAGTACAAAATTTGATTTATGGGTCGAAATGTCCTACCCACTAGGGGTCATTGAAAAAGGGATATAAGTGTAAAGGGGTCTAAAAGTCATCTTAATATCATAAGGATTCGAGAAGTCAATAGGTCTAAGAGTCTTACTTTATTGGTATTTTGGTTTCTAATTAATAGTGTAAATACAATAAAATGAAATCATCGCATCTTGAACAAACAAATCAATTCAATATGTAACATTGATTAAGTAGATATGTAAAACTATTGATCGCCAATATAACATACATGTGTTTCATACATAGAAATTGTAGTTACATGTATGAATAAACACCAATGCGCAAAAAATCAACAAAAAAAAAAAAAAAAAAAAAAAAAAAAAAAAATCAAAGCAAATACATGTACATGTATATTATTACTACCATATGTAGCAATGCTACTTAATTATTGTTTTGCTATGCAACATAACATTAAATGAATTAAAAACAATATTGCTTTATTGCTTTATACAGTCTGATGCATTATCACTATATATATTTGATAAAATCTTTACAATCAATAAAGAGCTTTGATATGGAATGCTTAACATTTTGCTTTTAGATCTTCTTCATTTTTTTATTAATCTGCATATGTTTCAAATATTTTTTAGTTAATGTAAAATGCGGAGTTCTTCTCAGATCGGTGCTAGGGGTGTCGGCGGTATCTTGCACTTTGGAGTAGAGTTCATGAACATGCTTCAATCAAACCCAGTCTGCAGCATTTTCAATTCCTCCGTTTTGGACTTTCTTTAGGGATTCTATTTCTCTCTATTCTAGCACCAAATAATTTGAAAATCAATGTAACTATGTATTTAACCCACGACGCTCGATTCGTTTTAGTACATGCATTTTCTATATGACAGGTAATAATCACAATTATGTTGAGAAGCAGTCAATCCATTTTTCAAATTCTTCATTTGTTTTTGCCATCTTCACACGAATGTGTATTTCAGTGTCGCCGAAATAATAGTAAGTGGTATGTCTTTTGTCTAAAATGCTTTGTGATTTCGGCAAATTAATTATTAATCTTCCCAATTTTTGACACCCCGACTCTGTTGTATAAGTAACATCAAGATTTGTAGAACTAAATAATGTAATTGCTGCATGTTCTTGACTTGCATAAGCTGCAATTGATTTCTCTTCTTTCGTAACTCCTATTGGAATTTCCTCTCCAATTTCAATAATCTTTTTAAAAATTTCTTTACAATGCTCCCGTCCATCACGTATAGTTTTTCTAGCAGGGTCGTGATGTTTTTCAAACAAAGGCAATATTTCTCTTCCAATAGTGAACCTTGCAATTCTCGTTTTAAATGCATCCGAATGATGACCGAAGTGAACGGCTCCTTTAAGCACAGCTAAACCTGCTTCCTTCAGAATAAGGAGTCTTTTGTCAGGGAAGCTTTGTTCGAATGCTTCTGTCACGAGATCACACTCGCTAAACCCGCCAACAAGAAGTATAGCCTCAATATCTTGTATTTCTGGTTGTTCAAACATCTTTTTAACATGGTTGATAAGCATTTCTATCGGAAGGGTAAATAAGGCTTTTGCGGCAACCTTTTCAATCCTCAACTTATCTCCAATCCAGCTGTATTTTGTTTTATCATGTAACCTTGCTCTTTTTGTGGCCATTTTGATCCCATCTAACTCAGCGAGTTTGCACAGTGATAGGGGGAGTTTGAATGTTATTTTCCCTTCATTGTCTCTCGTTATCGATCTTTTCTTTGTCTCAAAGTCTCGAAGAAGGTCAAAATAGTCGATCATTTCCTCTCGCTTAAATTTGTCCATTGCCGCCGCCTGTACTATATTTTCAAGCAATTGTAAGTAGTTCTTATCAACTTCATTTCCACCCCATGCTCCTCCACTTGCTTTATGTATCTCTTTCAAACTTCCATCGTCCATTTTCTGATGTACTGTTATATCAGCTGTTCCTCCTGAATACCATATATTAAGATATTGGAAAACGGTAATAAAAAAGTTATAATGCAAATCAAAAGGCGTTCTAAAGTAAATAAAGGCGTAAAAAGGCGAATCAAAATATTTAATAACGCAAGGAAAAAGGCGTTATTATGCAAAATAGAAATAAAAGGGTTATCTATAATGCAAAACCAAGGCGTTATAACACAGTTCTAACATGATTCACGCTATTCTCCTATCAAACGGATAGGGCAGTTTAGTACATAAGTACATTATTACACGATAAATGCACAGCATAAACAACGTCATATGACGTAAGATATGTCAATAAACCAAATGACGTCAGAAAAATAACTTTTACGCTCAGTGTAGTTCCAAATATTCTATTTATTTTATATTTTATTAGCATGTTAGAATGGAATTAGAAATATTTCTTGCATTATAGATTAATATCCACTGTTTATTTTCAAATGATTTGAACTCAAACCTTACATTATCCTACAACAATGCATTCAAAATCGATATATATTTCCTAAACAAATAACGTTCATAACGCCAATTAAATTAATATTTATGCTAATCAAATTGCCTGGTAACGTAAAAAGGAAAGAACAATATTAATATGAAATAATATAGTTTGCACACGATAAATGTATCTAAGGATACGTCCGATTGCCAGAGTCTGGGTTTTTTTTTATCTCTTATAACAACAAGACAATACCTGTTATTCAAGTGTGCAGTTGATGACTATAAATATTAATTAATCTAAGAAGTATTGACAAATGTACTCAATTAAATTTACCTCCTAAGTCTATGACCATATATTTAGTTAATTGCTCGGAGAGACTACTGAGCTTGTCATCTGTTTCAACCTGACACCAGAGTGATGCTGCTTCAGGTTCAAGGGCAAAGGATATTTGCTCGTTTGGAATTCCAGCCTATTGATAATAATTTATTGATAAAAGTTCTGGTATATTCCACATAATGATAATCAAATAACAGACAAAAATACATTTAGAGTGTAAACTTATTTAATAAATATCTTTTTATTTCACATTTCTGATAGCATTCAAAATCTTCATTGTTTAAATTAAGGGATTTAATTTTATTCATAGAAACAAATGTATGCAATCATATTGCATTCATCATATTGAAAAAAAATGCAAAGGTCAAATCATATAATGATTACTTTACCTTATAAGCTGCCCTTCTCATGAATTGCTTTGCCTTTGGATCCCAAATAGCCGGAACTGTAATCACATACTGAATGTCAGTTTCAAGTATTTCACATACCCTTGACTGCAGCGTTTTCCAAAGATGATTCTTGAGAAATGACATTGAATGAGCAAATATATCTATGGCTGGCATTTTCATTCCAGAAATGTCTTCTATGAGAGTGTCAAGTTGCAAATTCTGAAAAGACAGAACATCATGACAAAACTATATATGTATTTGAAACAAACCGTAAGTCTTATCAATGGTAATTGTTGTCTAATGTTATGGATAATGATTTAAGTTTTTAATGAATGTGATCGGTAAAAGTGTAACATATTTATAATAAACATCAAATGGATTTCGTTACTTACTGTTGTTTCATAAAGTATCATTTTGAAACGTCGAAAAAGGTACCAGCCGTGGTGTTTGGCATCCTCCGCCAAATCACTATACTTATTTTCAGCCTCAAATCCAAACGAATGGAACGTTTTGTCGGGTTTAAGCAAAACTGAAGAGGGACATTTTAGTGACATAAGTTTCTCAGAACCAGCTACCCAGTTTGGGTTGGTATGTATATCGTTTGGCTTGTCACGGAACGAGAAAGCATACCCACTGTAAGTGGTTCCAAAGTCTATAGCTGCAACAAGTAGTCTGTTACAAGTTGACTTTTCAGCTGCCATTGCCATTGCGGCTAAAATATACAAAACAGATCAATTGTCAACAATTATGAACTATTCGAAGTACAATTTAAATTTGTTGCAAGTTCATATTCTTCCATATCATCACATAAGACAAAATCTCTTACCAGGTTAAGATGAACCCACTTAGCTAAAATCTACTTTCTATTTTTAGATGGAAAAGTGGATACATCTTTATATATAAAGTATACTATATAGATAATAATAAGTATATAGATCAAGTATATATATCAAGTTTATGTATTAAAGTTTAATTACCCAGCAAAGAATGTACTTTGCGCATATGAAGAAGGGTCGGGGTTGAATGTTTTCTCAGACAATTGTCACACATGTCATAAGTAGAAATGTAGATAAGATTACTTCTGACCTCCTAAGTTAATGTGTGTTTTTGTTTATTTCAGACAAATTATTCATCAATTCGAAACGTTTGTACGTCATTTAAGATTCCTATTTAACTACGTTACTCATCTTATTCATTGCCGAAAGAAACACAAAGAGGAAAAAGGTCTACTTTTGGTTTCATATATTTGAAAAGAAAATCACCAGCGATCCAAACATTTATCATATTTATCTGCATATGGTGACAACTATAACATAACATGTTCAATAGGAACATTCGTGTTAAACAAATCGGTATCAGATGTAACCTGATATATTTTGGTGCATGGTCACTATTTGAAATTTTCATTCAGAGACGTGCTAACATTTGTAATCAAGCTATGTATATATATATATATCTTGATTACAAATTTGTCGGCTGCGTTTTAAACGTCAAACTTTAAACGTTTAAGTAAATACGAATATACTCTTTCTGTCTCTATATATAGCGTCTTCGTGGAAAAATTACTTCCTGATAATGTTTTCGAACTTTACAGGTGCAGATCCAGCACTGAAATTGAGGATGGTTTGAATTTAACAACTAAGAATATTGTATTCACTATTCAAGAAGAAATGTCACAGGTTTTAAAATACTTGAAGATTTTCGAGATATACAGATCTGACCTTTATTACATACACAAACTCTTTGGCTATTTTTTTCATCGATTTACAACAAAACACTTCTTTTTATATATTGCCTATTACTTTAAAAAGCAATTTCGAATTCTTTAGGGAAAAAAGAAGAAATTCCGACAATTTGCATTATTTGTTTGGTAAAGTGGTTTTAATAGTTTGGGAATTATTGCCTATAGTTGTGTTATGATTTTTGCTGATAACATATAAGAAAGACAAATTGCCGTGAAGTAGGTCTGTTCTTAAAAGTTACGTATTGTTATAATCATATGAGACAACAAACTAACGTTTCACAAATTAGTCGCCAGTTTCTTAAAAACATAGAGCATTGGCCACTTATCGCTCACCTGAGCATAGAGTGTTATATTGTGTAAATTAAGGGAAAGCTAGTCTTTAGTACAAGAATATGAACGATGTTGGTCACTATGCCATACTAAATGCAAACATATCTTTTATCTTTACTTTATACATAGTCCTAATTTCACAGTTTCACTTAAAAAAGCAAAAATGTAGGTCACTTGGTCAAAATCTAGCTCAACTGTTGTCAAAGTTCAGTTTTACATAGAAAACTGTGCGTAGAGTCCACTTTTGATAGCTGCACATCAAAGAATATTTTTTTAATCGTCACATCATACCTAATCTCCCCTCCCACCGGGTAACGTTATACCCACTAAAACTGCCGGTCATCAGTCTAAAAATAGATTTAAGCTATCTAGTGTGGTCAGCATGATCAACGGTTAATGTATATCTACTTAACTGTTTAGATATATATTTGTTACTGTTATTTACTCATCAAAGAATGTAATATTCACATATGAATTAAATGTCTATCTAACTAGCAAATTTATACTCATCAAAGAATGTAATATTCACATATGAATTAAATGTCTATCTAACTAGCAAATTTATCAAACATGTTGACAACATGAAATGTAGATAAGATTTCTTCTGTCCTCCTAGGTCAAGGTGTATATTTGCTGAGTCTAGACATATAGTTAATCAATCGTTTCGTCATCTAAGTGTCCCCTTTTACTACTTTACTCAATTATATTCATTGCACTAACTGTTTGTCGAATGAAAAACAAAGAGGAGAAAGATCTACTTTTGGTTTCATATATTTGAAAACAAAATCACCAATAATCCAAACATGTATCAGACCAATCCGCATATATGTATTCCATTGTAAAATGTATAGTTCGTTAGTAAACATTTCACCTCAGAATTATTGTGATTAAAATTTTGGTTTAATATTAAAAAAATATCTACTTACCAAAACGACAACTACAACACTATTATTGAAATAACCTGTTCAAAAGGTACATTCGTGTTAAACAAATCGGTCTAGATGTAACCCGATAAATTTTGGTGCATGGTCACTTAGCTTAAAAAAGTATTTGAATTTTTTTATTTAATTATCCGAAGACGTAGGTAATGGCGTGCTAACATTTGTAATCAAGCTATGTATGTATATATTTCTTGATAACAAATGTGTCGGCTCCATTTAAAACGTTAAACGTTTAAGTTGAAACGAATATACTATCTTTATCTCTATACATAGCGTCTTTGTGGAAAAATTACTTCCTGATAAAGTTTCCGAACTTTACAGGTGCAGCTCCAGCACTTAAATTTGGGATAGTTTCAGTCCAACAACTACGAATGTTGTATTCACAATTCAAGAAAAAATGTCACAGGTTTTAAAATACTTGAAGAGTTTCGAGATATACAGATCTGTTCTATATCAAGTCCACACATTCTTTTGGCTATTTTTCCATCAATTGAGCACAAAACACTCCTTTTTATATCTTTTCTATTACTTTAAAAACAATTTCGATTTCGATAGGGAATAATAAATATTTTCCGACAATTTCCATTTTTTTTTTTTTTGGTTAGGAGGATGAAGTTTTTTTGCGAATTATTGCCTATATGTGTGTGATGATTTTTGCTGAAAACATAGGAGAAAGAAAACTCGCCGTTAAATAGGTCAGTTCTTAAAACTTACGGTTTTGTTATAAACATATAAGATAACAAACTAAGGTTTCACAAATTAGTCGCCAGTTTCTTAAAAACAAGGAGGGCATTGGCCACAAAGCGCTTATCTGAGCATAGAGTGTTATTTTGTGTAAATTCAGCGAAAGCTAGTGTTTAGTACAAGAATATGAACGATGTTGGGCACTATGTTATAATAAATGCAAAAAATATATTTTATCTTTTACTTTATACATTGTCCTACTTTTATAGCTTTACTTAAAGAAAGCAAGAATGTAGGTCACTTGGTCAAAATCTAGGTCAGCTGATATCAAAGTTCAGTTTTGCATCTAAAACTGTGCGTATAGTCCAAATTTCATAGCTGCATTTAAAAAACAAGATAGTAGGTCACTTGTTCAAATTTTATATCTGAAACTATACAAAAAAATGAATTGTTGAAAATCATGAACTACTGGAAATACGTTAAAACTTGTCACAAGTTCATATTTTTTAATCGTCACATTATACCTAATCTCACACCAGGTAAAGTTATACCCCCTTAAACTGTCGGACATCAGTCTAAAAATAGGTTTTAGCTATCTAGTGTGGTCAGCATGGTCAACAGTTAATGTATATCTTCTTAACTGTTTAGATATATATTTGTTACTGTTATTTACCCATCAAAAATGTAATTTTCGCATATGACGAAGAGGCGGGGTTGAATATTTATATTACTAGGAAATTTATCAAACATGTTAGAACATGAAATGTAGATAAGATTTCTTCTGTCCTCTTAGGTCAAAGTGTGTATACAAATAATTCATCACTTGTCTCGTCATCTAACTTTCCCTTTTTACTTCTTTACTCAATTTATTCATTGCACGAAAGAAAAACAAAGATCTACTTTTGGTTTCATAAATTTGAAAACAAAATCACCAACAAGCCAAACATGTATCAGATTTATCCGCATATATCTTATTCCATTGTAAAATGTATGGTTCGTAACTTAACATAAACCTCAGAATTATTGTGATTAAAATTTGGTGTAATATAAAACATTATCTACTTACCAAAGTGACAAATGTAACACTCTCTTTGGAATAACCTGTTCAATAGGTAGTCTGGATTACCTGCCCTTTTCTCTGCATTCCTCTGTACTAAAATTTATAGTACGACGGGAACCAGACTAGTTCAATAGGTACATTCGTGTTAAACAAATCGGTACCAGATGTAACCTGATATATTTTGGTGCATGACTACATGTATAATAAAGTATTTTGATTTTTTAACTTAATTATTCATTGACGTAGGTAATGGCGTGGTTACAATTTTAATCCAGCTATGTATGCATAGATGTTTTGATTATAAAAGTGTCGGCTCCATTTAAAAATTCAAACGTTTAAGTTGAAACGAATACACCCTCTCTATATATAGCGCCTTCGTGGAAAATATACTTCCTGGTTTAGTTTGTGAAATTTTACAGGTGCAAATCTAGCATATAAATTGGGGGTAGCGTGAATCTAACAACTACAAACTTTGTAAGCAGTCATTTGCAACAGCGACAGAAACGTCGCAGGTTTTTATCTAAAATGCGTTATGATTTTCACCATGTACAGATCTGTCATATATTACGTTCAAACTCAAGTGGCTATTTTAATCCACAAAACACTCCTATTGATATTTTTCCTTTTATTTTAAATGGTTTGAATTTCTTTGGAGAACAAAATCTTATTTTCGACGATTTGCATAATTTGTGTGGTGTTAATTTGATTTAAGGGGGTGGGGGGATAAGTTGGTGTTTAATGATTTTTGCTGAGAACATAGGAGAAAGAAAAACACACCTATCGTGAAGTTGGTCTGTTCCTAACAAATATAGTTCTGTTATAAACATATATGACAACAACCTTTGTGTTTTACAAATTTGTCGCCCGTTTTTTTTTCAATTAAGGAAATAACCCACAATTACTTTCTTGTCCTGATGGAAATATCTTATGCATTTGGGATAATTTTATTTAAGATCAAAAGTTGATTGTCTTTATATGCATTATGCCGGCATGTCAGACGGTATTACGTTAGGAGCCTAAATTTAATCTTACATAGCGGCTAAAAACCTTCAAATTTGATGCCATTTTTAAAATGCAGCAAGAGTCGCTTAGTGCAAAGAGATATGATCATGTAAAAAGTAAAAAAAAAGTTAGTTGTCATGATTTCATTTTGATAAATCATATCTACACTTACGTTTAATTTACTTTATTTCACCTGTCTTCTCTAAAGTAAGTTTTCGTTCGGTTAATTAACATAAGTGTTCATCTGATTGTGCGCATTTTTGTCACTTTTTTGGCCGGAGGTCGTCTGTTTTCGGTTGGACGTCCTGTAAAATTTAAAGGGAAGAACTGAATGTATGAACAATTTTCATTGGTCATTTAAAAATCTGAAACTGATTGGCCATTGTAAAATTAGTAAAAAAACACAAAGGATTTTTCTGATATAGTAGTATATACGTCTAATATTTAATTGATCTAAAGTTGTTTGAAAAACTAACTATTTTCATTCAAAGGCTCTTTTACTATCAAGTTAAATTTCATATACTTAAGTTCTGTTTAACCAGATGCCTTCTCCTACACATTATAAATTCTATATTTCCATGCATCTTCCTACAGATAATTTTACGTTGCTTAAATGATGTATTTAATTTTGTCAAGCATTAATGAAACCACCACTTACAATTACGTCCCGTTTACTCATGCGCATGAAAAAAGCGAAAAGCACATAAGTAAACGAACTTATCCGGCATTATCAGTTATTTATCTGAAATGGATACAAAGTTGATAATTTTCCCGTATCTTTCATATTACTGAAGTATTTATATAACTGCTTATGATTGAATGGTTTGTTTTAATAAAGTTTGTCAACGTATTTTTAGATTAGAAATCCTGTGTCCGGTTCTTTTTTCAAAGGGGTTGCAAATCTGTTGATTCGGGTATTTCGTGTCAACAAAACATTGTCATTATTTTTAACTTTCTAATGAAACTTCGGTTTGATTAAACTTCAATTACTTTAATATTTTTCTTTGAGATAAAACGACATTCACAATAATAGAAATAAAAGAATTTCAAGACCGTAAAAAATGAACGTAGACGAAAAAAATGAGTACGAAATAAAATGTTTTGTTTGTAGTTTTTGACTTTTTCTTTACTTTTAAAGGATTAACTTCAAACTTTACATTCTGTGTCTATTTAAAATACTTCGTTTGTGCCAACATATGCATATCATTTTTAAATTAAAAAAAAAAATGATAAAACGTAAAATTTAATAATAGGCTTAATATCATAATCGTTATGATTCTATTTCCATGTTTCATAAGAAACGATATGCAAATTAACCAGCTTTAGTTCGGCTGCTTATCTTTCTTTAAAGATACTTCTTGTTTATACTAAATTTCGTGTTAGTATTGAGTGAATTCACTCTCCGATGTGGTTTCCTGCGGTTTTTCGTGAAGAGGGTCAGACTCTCGTATTGATTTTCCCATAGACTTACATTATGAGAAATGGTCCTTAATCCTAAATTAAAATTGAGTTATCCTGCTAAGGAGGTGATTTCTTTCTATGAATGAAATTTTCATAGGCTGATTATAAATGCTACATCTTGAATAACTAGGTTTTGGCATTCTTTAGAACAGATTCACGGGCACTTCGGATCATCAGACCATTTCACTGGACATAATGGATTTAAACTGAGAATATTTTGGACCACGCATTTGATAATCATATTATTACTATGACACAGATAAGTTCAGTTGATATTTATTTGTCATATTGGTTTATTTAAAAATATTGATTTCAAAAAATATTTAATATTTTGCATAATCATATAATATTGTTTCAAACATGCCTAATTGTGTTACCTTTCAGATATTACAACACATTGAACAAAACTAAGACCGTTCCTATCGTGTAAATTTTGTAACATGTTTATATGTTTATTCATGTAATGATATAATGGTTTGCAAATGCTTGGTTCTGTAAATATTTTTGAAAATTGTGCTATGATTTTTAAGTCCAATGTCAGCGATATATTACGTACTGTAAATTATTGCTGTCCATAGCTGTACTTCTATACAGCTCTAATTCTATACATCGAATTAAATTGATAATTACTGACTTAAATTGTGACCTGAAAATTTTAAATATAAAAAAAAAGGATTTCTAAAAAAACATAATAATCGTCTTTGCATCACGTATTATATTATTTGAAGTACTAATATTTAAGATTATATCTCATGTATCTGACATCCTATCTTTGTAATGCATTAAGTGATCATTGCGTCCACTTGTAAATCAATGAGTTTCGAGAGTTGCTTAAATCCGTGATAAATCACATTAGAAAATGTATAACGCACTACGGCAGATAGCATGAAATCACGTACCGTCCGTAAGCAGACTGGTGAATCGACACATACAGATTTTGCATTGACAGTCGTCAGAGTCAGTGACCTTAACCACAAATTATATCTTTATGCAACCATTGAATATAATAATGACTACAAGTACAGTTGTAATGACTAAACATGTCTTAAGCATATGAACTTTAGTTTATTTTTCTTACTATGTCTTTAATCCCATTATTACACTATTTGATAACCGTTTTAGAGAAGTTGTAGAATTTATATGTCAATATCAAAAATCAACAATTTGCATTATTTGATGTCATGTTTAATACACAATTAAAGTATGAGATTTAAGTACAATAGCTCCGTCATATCACAAAATATCTTGACGAATGCTTAAGAACTTTGATGGATTTTCCAGATTTTTGTCTATTTCGCTTCTTGATTAAAAAAATGTTCAAATATTATATTCCAGGTTCATATTTTCACATAGCTAATAATAGATAACCAATTAAGCAATGAATAATTGATCCACTGCA